GACAGGAGAGATCTGCTGTGCCATGTGAGTTTCTCCCTAGCCGGCCGGGGATCGAACTCGTGCTGCAGAGGCTACGGAGTGCTTCATAGTGTGGTGCTTAACCCCTTGCGCCAACAGGGAGACCCACATTCCAGCTTTTCTAAGTAAAGTCAGACAAGGACTCCGGGAGTTGTTCATGCCTGGTGAAAGTGGGGAGTCCTCCAAAACTTTTTACAGCAAGGAAGGACGAATCGCCCCTTGATTTGTAGGTTTATTGAGGCACAACCATTGTACATTTTGCTGTTTCCTTTGTTTGTTGTGAAACCTCCAGTCTTTTTCCTGGGGAGACTGTACTAATGTGCTGTTCTGGGCACAGGTGACCATCTCAGATACTTAAATCAGCCACTCAGAACTGCAGTGAAAATAATGGGAGTTATGTTGGCCATTAACTTCCTTTCAAGAGAGGAAGGAGGTCAAACTCCCTCCTGGTTACATTCATTCCTTCTGAGACCAGTGAGTTGGATAAGGTTTAACAGTTCTGTTTTCCACATAGGGAATTGATCATTTCTTTGCTAAAGTCCAAATAGTAAGGCGAGGTTGAACCCAATTTAAAATCCAACCCCCTGTGTTATTTTACTGCCTCTAGTAATTTAGGGAAGTAGAGGTGTTTATATGCTTTATGAACCAGGAAAGCAGTAAGGAAGGGAGGGTAATGTTTTGAAATGAATGGTGATTTACTGTTTTAAATGCCAACAAATATTCCTACAAATGGCATCAGTTTTTGCTCACACATTTATTTTTAGAGAAATATATGTCACAAGTTAAAACTTCTCAGTATAATAACAGTTGCTTCTTATTCTCCTTTATGATGATTTTGGGTAAAAAGCAGAGATTGTGTGTCTATGGTGTTTTTTGTTTATTGGAAGTTCAGGGATTGTTGGGGTGTGCTAAATGCGACCGGCAGTGTCCATTGCTTTCATTTCTTTTGCAGTTACTTTTGTATACATTTAAAGTATTGTTAGAAAAGTCAGTAAAAATTAGGCAGTCAGTGTTGTCTTATGCCCTGTGAAATGTTTTTAATTAATTGCTCAAATTTATGTTTTATGTTTATATTGCTTACCATTGAGTCAAGATCTAAATCATGTATGCCGATGAGCTGGAGGTACCCCCAGGTGCTAACAGTGGTTGTGGAAAGGGGAGGATGTTGTTGCTTCCTTTCTGGAAAACAGTATATGACTCTGTGTGTGTGTTTGTGTTTGATTTCCTTACACACACACACACACACACACAAACACACACACACAGTGTGTCTTATAAATGTTTGTAACTCCTTGATTAAATCATTTGACTTTGAAAAATCTATACTAAGGACGTACTTACAATGGTTAAGGACTTTTAGGCACAAATATTCATTGCAGCATTAGCTTTGATAAAAGACAAACATATACACATAACTATAAAAAAAGCAGCTTAAATATCCAAAAAGGAGTAGCCAAGTAAATTAAGTATGTCCTGAAAAGTATCTAAAAGTACAGACCTACAAAGTACCTATCACTGTTAAAATTATGATTATGAAAAATTTTAATAAGTAACTAGATAATAAATGGGGAAGTCAAGATTTAAGACTGTTTTGCATACATGTTATTATCTCAATGTTGTAAGTAAACAGACACCCATAGGAAAAGGAAAAGGAGTAGAAGGAAGTGCATTAAAATATTGATATGTTATCTTTAGGTGATGGTGTTGCTGTGTGTATTTTTTTTTACATTTATATTTTTCCATATTTTCTGTGTTGAGTGTGTTTTTGTCAATGAGTATTTATAGAAACCTTCTGTTAACTATTTTCTACTTGTGAAAGTAACATATTCAGTATAGAAGATGTGAAAAAAACTCAACCATTTTTTTAAAATCACCTAGCATTATGTTACCAACACTGGGTGCTTTAAATATATTCTAGATGAGAAAAAACACTGAAGTCTAAAAACTGACAACATGATTTAAATAAGATTCTATTCTGTTTCCAATATGATTTAAATCAGAATTCTGTTTTTTAATTTTTGCATGAGAATATTTGAACATTATGTTTACTAGAACAGAGATCCAAGAGCCTTTGGCAAGTGACGTATTAGTTTTGTGTGGTGGAGTGGGCCAGACTTTTTCTTTGCTGGTCACTGTTTCCAGATGAGAAGAGAGGATGAGAGGATGATGGGAGAACAATTTTCATGTAGATGGAACTAGGGCTGTTGTCATCCTTGCCAAGGTGAATTTTTATGGGTAAGAATGGTGACATATAGGAGCCTCCCTGGAGGCGCAGGGGTCAAAGTCTCAGCCACTGCAACGATGTGGGTTCGATCCCCGGCCAGGGAGCTACCCACATAGTGCAGCAGATCTCTCCTGTCTCACCCACTGCTCCCCTCATCAGTGTATTTCAGTGGATCCCCCTGTTCTGTTCCCCACTCTGTCTCTGGTGGGTCCTCTCACCCCGCTGCACCCTCTGGCCTACACTCTAGTTCTTGTATGCATAAATACATAAAATAAATATTAAAAAAAAAAGAGAATGGTGACATATAGTTAAAGCTACTGATCTGTGTGTAAGAAGATGGCAGCAGTCTTCTGCCAGACAAAAAAAATTGTTCATTTGCTAATGCAATGCAGGGGAAAATTTATGTATATACCTATATTTCTATATTTATTGATAAAATTGGCAAACCCTTAGATGATATCTGCAGATAAACATGATAGATTAAAAATATGTTTATTTCTTACTGGTTTTCCAAGTTAAATATTATTGACTGTTACTTGTTAAATAACAATGCCACCAATATCATTATATATTTCCTTTTTTGATAAAGACAGTACTTTTGAAAATGATGTAGCATTGAATAGTTTTCTAGTAGTGCTAATGATATCCTCTGATTTATATATCATGTAACTCTTTGTGGTGTTTATTTGTGGGGTTGGACTGGATTTCCTCTTGGTGCTCTTGAAAGATTTTTAAGCTACCCAACCAAAATTAATAATAATCTTAAATAATATTAAATCTAAGATTAATAATAATCTTATTATTACACTTTTCTCACAAACTGATCAAACTTGTGATGGATAACTATACACCAAGGTAACAATACAGAGTAAATGCCTGTTCTGGTCATAGATTCATTCCCGCCTCCAACATCAAATTGACATCTTGTTCAGAGTAATGTAATAGCGAGACAGAGGTATTCCTGTGTGTTAATATTTAGTTAGCAACAACGAGCTGTGAAGTCTTAAAAGACAGCTGAAAAGTAACTCTGTAGATCATGTGCTAGGGTTAAAGTTGACTCCGGAATTTGTTTCACCGCTTTTTAATAAATAAATAGTTGAAGAAAGATCTGGCAAAAGGAAGAAACATTCCTCCTTGTCCTCATTCTCTCAGGAAAATGTCTCCTGTTATTTGAATGTTTACTTTGCCTTGACTGCTTACCAGTGGGATGGCGGTTCTTCCCCATGAACCAAGTGAGAATTCAAATAAACCTAAAAGTGCTTTCACACAGCTGGCCCCTTCTGCCAAAGAGTGGTATCAAAATATCCTCTCCCATTGTGCAAAAGAGAAAAAATGAAAATGGTAGTTCCTGAACTGATAATCTGTGATCAATTGATAGTACATGATAAACTGGGTTTGCAATGTGTAGATTTTGGAGTCCCTGGCGTACAGAAGTGGAGATCCTTGTTTAATGTATAAAAAAGCATACTTAAGGCACTTCGTTTTGTATTACCACGCAGTCGGTTGATTGCAGTGCTGTGAAGCTGTCTGCAGCATCTGCAGCACCGGTTCGATCCTGGCAGCGCCGGTTCGATCCTGGCCAGCCGGGGAGGGTCCCACATGGTGCGGCAGACCTCACCTGTCTTGCCCGCTGCTCCCCTCAGCAGTGTAGTTTGTCAGTCTGCCTGTTCTGTTCCCCGCTCTGGCTCTGGTGAATCCTCTTGCCCTTCCGTGCATCTGGCCTATACCGCGGTTCTTATATGCATGAATAAATAAATCCTTAAAAAAAAAATACTCGTTTCTGAAATGTTACTAATGTAGCTTTATCCTTACATTTTATTGCATTGCAAGCATAAATGAGATCACACACGCCCCTTTTATATGTCCTCTGCATGTTTGCCATCACATTTAGGATAAATTCCGTCATCTTTACCACGGCCTTTGAAGCTGGGTATCATCTGGCCCAGCTTTCCTCTACTTTCTCCTGGGTTCTCCCTCCCTCACCACAGTGGTTTTTGGATAGTCGGCAGGCATGCCAAGCTCACTTTATAGTCTTTTTGTTTGAACAATCCATGAACCTGAGTTCCCTATCTGGAAAAAAAAAAAAAAAAAAAAAAAAGGAAGAAAACCGGTAATACACATTGGGTTGTTGTGAAGATTAAAGTATAAAAAGCCCTGAAATGGTATCTGGCACATGCTAAGCACCGTATGTACAAAAGTTAGCTCTTATTTTGTTGTTTCTGTTATGGATTCTATTTTAGGGAACGTGGAGGAAGTATGCATTTCAGTTGTATTGAATTTTAGAAGTGCTAATGAGATGTGTGAAAGGCAGTTTAACGTTTTCATTTGCAATGATTGATTCTGTGTAATAAGAGGTATCTTAGAGCCTTGGAAGAATGAACAAAACTTCTGACTTTAAATTTAGTGCCTAGAGGTTAGCTTGTGAATTGGGAAGATAAGGATCATTAAGTATCTTATATCTGACATACTGTATACAGAGCTTTTAAGAAGAGGTGTGAACCTATACTGTTAAATCACATGCAGCATTATAAACCAATGTTACATCAATTAAAAAAAAAACAATAAAAATAAAACAAAGAAAAAACTATATACCTCTCAAAAGTCTGGTGACTTCACACCAAAAAAGTCTTACTTCATGCTCCCCGCTCCACACCCAAATATGTGTGCCATCATGCTCACAGCTCTGGCTATTCAGAGAAAAGTTTCCAGCTGTTTTTGTGCTTTAGGTTTTCTTTTTTTTCTTTTGGATGTCTTTCAGTGAGCCAAGGCCTGGGTTTTGCTCTGGAAGTCTGTCCTGCCTGCTTCTGTAATCTGGCGCTATGCATCCAGACTCTGGACCCTTACAGACACTGCTGTATGTGATGCTTGTGATTCTGTGCTCTCCTGTGAGTTCAGGTAAGAGTGGTGGGGTTTTTTGTTTGTTTGTTTGTTTGTTTTTTAAAGATTTATTTATTTATGCATACAAGAGCTGGGGCACAGGCCAGAGATGCTGGGGTGGGGGGGAAGTGAGAGGAGGAACAGAACAGGCAGACTAACGGAAATACACTGCTGAGGAGAGCAGCGGGTGAGTCAGGAGAGGTCTGCTGCGCCATGTGGGTTGCTCCCTGGCGGGCCGGGGATCGAACTCATGCTGCAGAGGCTGCGGATTACTTCACAGTGTGTTGTTTAACCCCTTGCGCCACCAGAGTCATGTTTTGGCTGAAGGGAGGACCTAAGAGTCATGTTTTGGCTGAAGCTTTTCTTCATCTTAATCCTATAAAATCAAACTTTGACTTTACTCCATTACTAACTAAAATGGTGTCTAAAGACATTCCTGAAATTTGACCACCTGAGTTATTTATGAACTTTGATTAATTACTTAATTTAAAGATTTCTCATTGCCTCCTGGGCACTAGCAGATCTTCTCATCACTCTCCTTGTAATTTATTCCTTTTATTGCCTTAAAAATAAATATTTTCCTGGGCCTCCCTGGTGACACTGGTTAATAGTCTCAGCGCTATCAAGTGCTGAGACAGTCACTGCAGCATGAATTGATCCCTGGCCAGGGAGCTAACTCATAATATGGGGCAGCAGATCTCTCCTGCCTCACCCGCTTCTCCCCTCAGGAGTGTCTTTCAGTAGATCTGCCTGTTCTGCTCCCCACTCTGTCTCTAGTGAATCCTCTCACCCCCTCCCACACCTCTGGCCTGCACCCCAGTTCTTGTGTAAACAAATAAATGAATAAATAAATAAATATTTTCCTATTGTGCTTTTATCAGTAAGTGGGTATGTTACAAATTTCTGAATTTGGAAATTCTGAATTCTGAAAACAGGAATAAAATGCTGACTACATACTGCCAAAGAGAAAATTTTAGAATTAACATGTAGTAGTACTCAGGTTGGAGTGAAGCATACTTGGTTTAAATCCCATATCTAGCTCTTTCCTTCATGACCTTGTCTCATTTATTATCTAATTCTTTTGCTTATTGAAAAACTTAAATGTGATTATTGTTAATGTATTTAAGCCTGAACCTAATTCATGACCCCCATATATTTCTTTTTGGATTTGTGTCAAGATTTATATAAAAGCATATATATTATAATGGTGTTTATTTATTAATATTTATAATCTCTGTTAAAAATTAGGTTTGATAAGGAAGAAGTGGTTTAATGGTTTATGCTTTTGTTTTGCTAAACATAAAATTCAGATTCAGTTAAGAGATACATTTCTCTTAATCTTTATTTTTGATTAACTATCCTATAAAAGTAGATCCAACAATTTATTGATTTTTTTCCTTTTAACCATTTTATTCCACCAAATCAACAGTATTCCTGTCCCTTCCCCCACTTTTTGGATGGAGGAGGGTGATCTGTTTTGATATTTCAGTGTAAGAACCCCCACCCAAGTTTTGGAGGAACAGACATAACAAATGAAACTATTCCAAACATCACAAAATTTTGTTTTAAGACTGAGTACCCTATTTAGCCTTACATCCCAAAATGTATGGACTTTGTATGGCTTCCTAAATTTCTGGTGCTGCTTTCTTTAAACTTGAACATTATTTTCTATTAAAGAGAAGTGGTAAAGAAGTACTATAACCTTTTTTTTATAGAATAATTTGCTCTTAAAGTCAAATCTTGTTGGTAATAGAGCAGAGAATTCTTTTTATTTTGAAAGTCATCTTTACTCTTTCAGATTCTTAGCTTCTGTTTCTTAAAAGCTTCTTAAAAGAGCAATTTATTATTTTTCATTTATAGAATTGGTATTTTGTCTAACTCATATCATAAGTATTCTCACCTATTTTACCCTCATTGTTAAGTCCTTGGTTAACTTGCTGCCTTTTGTTCTCCCAAAATGGACTTGTAAGAATGTTCCTAGAACTTTTATAACCGTTAAGAACCATAACATACATAGATAAAATAAGGGGGGATTGTCTTTAGTGAGTAAAGATTCAGATGAAATGCATTTAATGTGCTCTTTTTTCTCTCCCTTTCTCTCCCCTTTTCTCCCCCACCCCTTTTGCACATGGGGAATGTTCCCTTGTAGACTTGGCACCTTACTTCATTTCTGAGCCGCTGTCTGCTGTCCAGAAAGCTGGAGGATCTGTAGTACTACATTGTTCTGCCAAACCTGTGACTACTCATATCTCATGGTTGCATAATGGAAAAAGATTGGATAGAAACATGGAACAGATTAAGATTCATCAGGAGACTTTGACTATCCTTTCTCTTAACCCCTCCCTTGTGGGTTACTACCAGTGCATCGCCAACAATAGTGTGGGTGCAATTGTGAGCCGCCCTGCAACAGTATCCATTGCAGGTGAGTTAAATTTGGTCCCTGTTACATATGCTTTCCCCTGAAATCAGTTAGTGTTTACAGTTTTTGAATAGTAGGAGGAACATAGGCTTTAGAGTAAACACATAGGGGCATTCTCATTCCAGCTTTTACTTTGTCTTTGTTTAACTTGGGGAAATGTACTTGAACCTCTGTGAGCCTAGCGTAGTGACTGCATGGGATATGGGAATGATTTTTTTCATAACAAGGACAGCTTTCTAATATGAGATCTGAATTTCTTTGCTTAAAAGTCCTTAATTTTGACAACAAAAAAATTGCTGTTGTCTACTTTGACACTCCATTATTTCGTGTACTTTTTTATCTTTCTTTCACATTGAATTGTTTTATTTGCCTTGATTACTGAGTGATTTTAATTTATTTAATTGAAACCAGGCTAAAGAAGCAGGGGGAAAAACTGACTGTAAAGAAAGGAATGTTGAGTATTGAACTTATGGAAGATCTGGAATGCGTGGTTTTCTTAGTAAGTTTGAGCCATCTGCCTTTCAAACGATGATGGCTTCCAGTAATGGAAAACTTCTTTGTAAGGGCACCCCTATTTACAGAACAAATCTGGATTCCCCAGGAGTAGTGAGTTTGTCATAACTGAGAAGAGTAAATGTTTTTGTAGAGCTGTGACCCATGGACAGCTGCAAGACACACACTGGCAGGCTGAGCTCCTCGTGTCAGTCTGCTGAATTCTTTAGCATTGGAGATAATAAAGGGCCCTCCTTGCAGGCTCCATCTGTAGTAAACTTCAACTGAGGAGAGTTAAGACCTAGGTAGTATATTCAGATAATTCTTACCAAGCATTGCTTTGTTTTTCGACGTGCTAGTTTATTCCCATAAATCACTGCAACTGAGTAGCTACAAAAGGAATAAAGATGCTTAGGCAAAGTGAGTTTTGATGAAGGGCTGAGTTGAAAGGGTTTATCTTGACAGCGTAGGAGCAATTAAGTTTTATAGTTCTTCCTAAGGTTTTAAGAACAGTGGCCTTTCTTATAATCTCCTTGTAGTGTTGACTTCTGGAAAAGAGTGCCAGGATTTGGCTCCAGTCCTCAGCCACGCCACCTCTACCTCACCTGCTTTCTAAGATAAAAAGATCATGCAACTCTCTGAACTGGGATTAGCTGCCCAACCACCATGCTGCAGATGTTGTTTCTAGTTTAAATTTCCTTTGGTAGAGTTCAAATTTCCATGTATTTATTTATCTGCTTATTTGCTTACTTCTACCTACTTCTTTATTTTAGTTCTTGGTGATTTTGGTTCATCAACAAAGCCTGTTATTACAGCAGAAGAAAAAAGCACTGGTTTCATTGGCTGCAGGGTACCAGAGAGTAACCCCAAAGCTGAGGTGCGCTATAAAATCCGGGGAAAATGGCTGAAACATTCCACAGGTGAGATTTTTTATAAAATGCCAGTGGTACCCCCAGAACAAACTCTCTAAGCTCCGTGTGCCAGGGACTCTGGATACAAAAAAAATACCTAAGATATATTGTGGCTGCTCTCAGAAGTCAAGTGGAGAGACTAGAGCAAATGGTTACAGTGTAGAAATGATTTCAGTCTCACACCACCAGGACTCACTTTCTCAGTCCCCTGGTGTCAGATATCATGTCCTCATCCTGGAGAAGACTGCCCCTCCCTGATGTCCGCAGCAGTATGCCTTGCTGTCTGATGTCCCCTTTATTCAGCTTTACCCCTCCGCAAAGCATTGTGTTATGTATTTTTCTGTTTGCATGTTTGTTAATTATCCATTTCTCTTGCCACCCACATTCCCTGCACGAGGCAGCTGGCTGCTCAAGGGCAGGGCCTTTGATTTCTTCATTGCTGTATTACCTATACCCTGGCCATACAGGGCCTTCGTGACAGGAAATAGGCACTCAGGACTTAATGTTGGGGAAAAAAATAAATGAATGACAGGTAATCAGAGAGGCTTGTGCAGTGAGTGGTCTGTTGCCAAAGTGTTTCTGATGGGTTTAATATTTTCACTTGAGTAGTTTCCCCTTTATCTGAGACGGTTATATTCCAAGACCCCAGTGGAAGCCTGAAACTGTGGATAACACTGAACCCTTCCTATACTGTGATTTTCCTACATGAAATTTATGAATTAGGCACAATAAGAGATTAACAGCAACTAATAATGAAATGAACAATCATGACAGTACACTGTAATAAAGTTATATGATGGGTTATCTCAAAGTTACTGCATATACAATTTTTTTTTAAGATTTATTTATTTATGCATACAAGAGCTGGGGTATAGGCCAGGGTTGATTACAGTTAACTGAGAATGGAAAAGCAAAACCATGGATGAGGGGAGGAGGGAGTGGGATGTTACTACTGACTTCTTTCCTGTCTTAATATTCCCTTTCCTTCATTTAATGACTTTTCCTGGATTGTATCTTTGCTGCTAGTTTTATGCCTAAATTATTTTTTAAAGATTTATTTATTTATTTGTTTGTTTATTTATTTATTTATTTATTTATACAAGCACTGGGTACAGTTAGAAGCGCGGGAGGGTGAGAGAATTCACCAGAGCCAGAGCGGGGAACAGAACAGGCAGACTGATGAAATACACTGCTGAGGGGAGCAGCGGGCGGCAGGAGAGGTCTGTGCGCCATGTGGGACACTCGAGGTGGCCGGGGATCGAACCGGTGCTGCAGAGGCCGCGGGCAGCCTTGCAGTCCAGTGCTCAACCGCTGCGCCACCAGGGGAGGCCCTTTATGCCTAAATTTAAAGCATAGCTATCAACCTTTGTTGCTTTTAGTAGTGTTGATGTCCTTCATGAAGAGAGGCCTTAATCATATTCCCTTCCTTCCTCAGAAAATTACTTGATCCTTCCATCAGGAAATCTTCAGATTTTGAATGTATCTTTAGAGGACAAAGGATCATATAAATGTGCAGCTTTTAATCCTGTCACACATGAATTAAAAGTTGAACCCATTGGCCAAAAGCTCCTTGTGAGTCGTAAGTATTTGGGAGAATAATGGTAACGAGGAAGGGTTCTTGAAAGCATTCCTGATCGAGAAGCTGGGAAATAAACAGTTCATTTTTTTCAGGTTTTGTGTATCATAAGGAAGTCTTACAAAAAATCAAATACGTAAATACATTATGCAATAGTATTACATGTGTTTTAAAAATATAGTGAGTTTTTAGAAGGGCATATTGGTCAAGATGACAAGTGGAAAACTTTGTTGCATTGCTCAATAAAAAGAATTAATAGAGAAAATATTATGGCAATCAAATGATAGCTAACTGAATTATGAAAAATATATTTGTTCTCTATCGCAGATATGATAATAGTGATAGCTGAGTTTTGGATGATGGTAGTTGAGTTGAGGTAACACCATAAAAAAGTATTTGTTTACAAGTACCTCTACTTGCGGAGAAACTGCTCATTCAGAAGCCCCTAATTCTCAACTCAAAATGGTTTAGCTACTGAGAGCGTGAAGAAGTATAACAGCACCTGATAGCGTAAAGAAGTGCATATTGGTATATAAAATAAAAAAATAATAATAATTTTTTAAAAAGCAAAAAAAAAAAAGAAGTGTATATTGGAAAATGGGAAGGCTCAATGCTTTGTTAAGGGAGAGATTGGAAGAGAATACCTATTAATAGTATTTTTTCTGTTTACCCTTTTTTTTCAGGCGCATCTTCAGATCATTTTCACATTCTTCATCCCACCCTCCCACAGACATTAGCTGTTCTTTCTCACAGCCCTGTCACCCTGGAGTGTGTGGTGAGCGGAGTCCCAGGCTCTCAGGTGTTCTGGCTGAAGGACGGTCAGGATGCTGTGCTCGGAAGCAACTGGAGGAGGTTGTATTCTCATCTTGCCACTGATAGCATTGACCCAGCAGACTCTGGGAACTATTCCTGTATGGTGGGAAACAAGTCTGGAAACGTGAAACATGTCACTTACATGGTTAATGTGCTTGGTAAGATGCTACTGATTAATATTTTTCAAGTCAGGCTATTTTCCTGGTCTAACTGATGTTTGAATGGAAAATCCATTTGTGAAATATGAATGAAATAATGATTATCTAGAAATATCTACAAGCTTCATTTTTCTAAAGGATGGATCAGTGAGGCTGTATTTCTTGTAGGCACAGAACATTTCACTTGGGATGTGCTTGGGAACCTCACCCCCAAGTTGATGACATGACTCAGATCTTGTTCGTATTTCTTCATGACATGGAGAAGAGAGATTAGAAACCAACAGAAGGGAAGAGGCTGAATCAGTGTGTAGTACTGACTTATAACTAAGACAGAATACTGACTAGAAAATTTCATCTCAAAAAGAAATCTTTCCTTTGATTTTCTGTTTTGGAATATTTTTACCTATATTCAGCTTATAAAGAATTGCACCCCCATTTCTGTATATGTTCTTTATATCTTCTTTTAGCTACTTATCTCACTGTCATTTGTAGCATGATATGTGTTCTTTATCAGAACAGATTTTTGTGAAAAACAAAAAATGGGTAGTAAGTTGTTTCATAGTAAATATGGTTTTATAAACTTTCTGCATTTTTTTTACAATGACTTGATGTATATAAGTATGTGGCAAGTAGACTTTAAACTTTAATGATAAGTTTAACATGCATAATCATTTCATTTGGGCTTGTTTTGTATGCCAGTGCAGGATGTACTTAGTGTAAATAACAAAAAACTTCTAAAGGAAGTTTTTTGCCTAGTGTACACCTAACGTCAAAGCAGCGTTGACGAGGAAAAGAATTCAGTCTCTGAATAGTTCAGTCTCTTCTTTAGTTTTGGTTCATGTGTACTGTGAAATCCAGGGAAACTATTACTTTCTTTAAAACCAATCACCTGAGACAAATGCTAAAAGAAACCATGTTTATTTGTGGTTGTGTATGTACTCCTGTGTGTTGGGGGAGTTGAGTGGGTAGAGAGAGCTATAAAAATACACTGTGACATACTAGTAACATATGGTTTATCCTCCTAGAGGAAAGTTGAAATACATTTTTAATTTTTTCTTAATGACCACAGCAGATGGGAGAATGTGAGTAAACAATACAATTTGGTTTCAACTAGTAGTTATGGGTAGAGAGATTTTTATATGACTTGTGTGATAATTTAAAAAGTACATCTTGAGGTCTAGCGTTTGATTTATATGCTTTCTTTCAGAGCGTGCTTCAATTTCTAAAGGACTGCAGGAGCAGAGAGCATCTCTGGGTGCCACCGTGCTGTTTACTTGTGATATACATGGGAACCCTGCCCCCAACCACACTTGGTTTCATAACGCCCTGCCCATTCAACCTTCCCCAAGGCATCTAATTGCAGGAGATGGCCTGAAAATCAGTGGTGTTACCATGGAAGATTCTGGGTTGTATCAGTGTGTAGCAGATAACGGGATTGGATTTATGCAGTCTACTGGGAGACTTGAAATTGAAAAAGGTAGGCTTTTAGGCCATGTAATCTTAGGAAATTTTACTATGCAGATAAACTTTTATGGTGTTAAAAACTAAATTACTTTTGCTAAAGAAAAATAACACCATCACCATAACAGAATTGTGTTCATTTTCCATATTCCTTTCTAGTTGCAGCAGGGCATTTCCATGAAAAGGCCACCATATTTAATCAAGTTCAATAAATTAAAAAAAAAATTTTCAGCAGGTATGACACAGTTTAAAAGTAAAATTCTCTCATTCCTATTCCCCAGACAGCCAGATATCTCTTTAATTAGCTTCTCGAATGTCCTTGTGTGTGCATATATAATCTCTTATACACAACGTGTGTGCATTTAATAACTAAATATATGTATTTTTAACATAACTAGTAGTAGCGTTCTTTACTTTGAATTTCTCACTTAACATATGTCTTGGAGATCTCCCATAGATCCATTAAAGAGTATTTTTGTTTCTTTTTTCAAAAATGGTTGCTTAATCTTTGCCAATCTGATAGGTTAAAAACAAGAACCCTTTCATTTATATTTCTTCGATTATGAGTGAATTTGGACATCTTTTCATGTTTATGAGCCATTTGAATTTGTTTTCCTGTATATTAACTGTTCATTTTAAAAATTAGGTTATTGGTTATTTTTTTCTTAATGATTTGTAGGATTTTTTAAAATATATTAGAGAAACTAATCTTTTGTGTATGAGTTATGTTATTTAAGATTTCAGAGAATCAATATGATACAGACCAATTCTGTGACCTTAATATAATGGATTTAGAAACTAATAATAAAAAATACTTTTAAATCACCATATATTCAAAACTTAAAAATAAATAGGACATAATAAATAGAAGGGCAGAAATTAATTAAATAGAAAATAAAGATAAACAGAGAACATCAGAAAAAATAAAAGCTAGTTCTTTGTAAAGGCTAGTAAAATGGTCATATATTTGGCAAAACACAAACAATATTAGGAATAAGAAGGTACTATAATTCCATGTCTTGTAAAGATTAAAAACAATAAGATATGACTATGGTAAATTTTATGCCAATAATTTACAAACACAGACAGAAATGGAAACATTATTAGAAAAACTATAACTCAGTAAAACTCACTTAAAATAAATAAATAAACCTGAATAAGCCTATGTTTATGAGGGAAACTGATTAGGAGTTAAAAAATCTTCTCACAAAGAAAACACCAGGCCAGATGGCTTTATGACTAGTTTAGCCAACACACCACTCCAAATAATACACAGACTCTTCCAAAGAAAAGGAAAAAATGGAAATTCTACAGTCAGTATAATTTGGGTTCCAAAATCACAAAAGAATGGTATATGAAAAAGGAAAATAAAGGACCGGTCTCATTTATGAATGTAAGTGCAAAAAATCCTAAATAAAATAATAGCAAGCCATCAATCTATCAAAAAGAAAATATATCTTAATTAAGGAGTTATTACAGGAATCAATCAAAAAGCTTAATCAGAAAATTTAAAACCATTCATAGTGTTTATTGAAAAAAAAGGAGAAAAACAATATTATTCTCTCACTAGAAGTAGAAAAACAATTCAACTTAATTCAGTATCCATGTAGACAGTGTTAGAAAAATGGAATAGAACTTAATGAAGAGTATCTAACAAAAACTTAACGAAAAAAAAATTTAAAAGTGAAATATTGGGGGTATTCCCTTTAAAATATCTTTTCTTCATCATCATACTGGAGAGTCTGACCAGCGCAGAATAAAAATAAAAAGAAATAAAAGATATAAGGATAAAATTGAAAGAAACTAAATTATTATTAGTTTACAACTGCTATGATTGTCAATATAGAGAAACCTCAATCGTTTGCTGGCAAACTCTTATATCTCAGTGAAGACCAGTAAAGAATCAGTAGCCTTTCTATAGGCCAGTATACTGGCTAGATTTTTCTAGAGAAACAAAGCCAATGTATATAAGATATACCTAGGAGGAGATTTATTATAGGAACTGGTCAAATGGTTATAGAGGTCAGGAAGTCCCATGGTCTGCTCTGTGCAGGGTAGGAAAGCAGAAAAGCCAATGGCATGGTTCAGTTGTTGGGGGTAGGGAGGAAGGAAGCTGATGGTATAAGTCTGAACCTAAGTCTTAAAGCCAGAAAATCAGGAGTGCTAATGTCCTTTGGGCAGGAAAAAAATGGCTCAACTCAAGGAAAGAGAGACAGATAGACAGACAGACAGAAGGGAGCAATGGAGAGAGAGAGAATGAGAATTCTCCCTTACTCCACATCTTTGTTCTTTTGAGGTCCTCAACAGATTAGATGGTACCCATCTACGTTGGGAAGGACGTAGAATGAATTATCAGTTCATGGATACCAGAATTCAGTACTACACAGTTATCAATACTTTCCAGAAATTTTCTGTAGAGTCTTGCAACTCCAATTAAAATCCCATCAGAACATTTTGAGGACCTTGACAAACTGATTCTAAAATTTATATCAATGATCAAGGACTAAGTAGAGCTAAGATACTCTTAAAAAAAGAAGAAAAAGACTGTAGGGGACTTCCTTATCAGATAGTAGAATGTATAAAACAATCTCTCGTGATTACACTATTCTATTGGTGCAGGAACAGAAATATAGACTCTTGGAATAAGACAGATTCTGCCAAAAAGACATTTGCCCATAAGAACTTGGTGTAGGTGGCACTGCAGGTCACCCAAAGGAGGATATCCATTTCAAGTTTTAATATGGGGTAACTGATTATCAAAATGGAGAAAATAATGAAATCATAGTTCTCATACTATATACAAAGATTAAGTAGGGAGGCAATATGAATATGAAAGGCAAAATGGAAAATTTTTGAAGAAAATATAGGAGAATAAATGATCTGAGTAAAACTTTTTAACAATACATTTTCAAAAGCCTAACTTTAGGGCCTCCCCGGCGGTGCAGCAGGTTGAGCACAGCACTGTGAAGCTGTCTGCAGCCTCTGCAGCATGGGTTTGATTCCCAGCCCGCCAGGGAGCTACCCACATGGCGTGGCAGACCTCTCCTGTCTCACCTGCTGCTGCCCTCAGCAGTGTCTTCGGTCCGTCTGCCTGTTTTGCTTCCCGCTCTGTGTCTCACCCTCCCACACCTCTGGCCTATACCCCAGGCCTTGTATAAACAAACAAACAAAAAAATCTTTACAAAAAAAAAAACCCTGACTTTTAAAAAAGATTGATATGAATAGACTAAAACTCAAACATCCTCGTTATTATAACATACTAATAAAAAATTAAAAGTAATAAACTGGGTGAAGCTCTAGTAACATATATAACTAACAAAAGAACAATACCTGTATCTAGTATCCACAAACAACTCTGAATCATTACAAGAAAGATAAACGGCCTAATAGAAAAATGGACAAAAAGGAGGAGGGATTTTGATTTTTACTTTATTATAATTAGTCTTTTTCCTGGTCCCTTATTTAGGTTTTCTAAATTTCTGCTATGAGTCAGACCATCCAGTATTTTTCTTTTTCTTTCTGGCTTATTTTGCTGAGCATGATCCCTTCCAGCTCCATCCATGTTGCTGCAAATTGCATGTGTTTATCTTTTTTGATTGCTGAGTAATATTCCATTGTGTATATGCATACATTGTGCAAAAATGAAAAATGATGTAAAAAATATATAAAATAAAATAAAAGTAAAAAAATGGTACCAAGAAAAAAAAAAAAAGGAGGGAGCATGTGAGTGGCACACACTTGAAAAGATATTCAGCCTCATTAGTGCTCAGGAAATGCAGGCTCTGACCAGTGAGTCAGCATTTTGATACCTACTTACCTACTGAATGGGTAAAAATTCAGGAACCTGATGATGCTAAGTATTGATTACTTTTGTCAAACTTAGACCTGAAGGGAGATGGTTAAGTGAAATAAGCCTGAGTGGTGTATCTTACGTGGAATATAGAGAATTTAAACAAAGGGTCAGATAAAGCCACACTAATAACAAACCCTAGAACTCTGACTAGAGAACTGAGGCTACCAGAGTGGGGGAGAGGTGAGAACAGAGTGGCAGTGGGGCATAGTGGGGGGCAGTGGGGATGAACTGGGGTGCTCTGGTGGTGGGTGTGGGGTAGTAACTTGAAGGGGGAGATCGATCCTTCTAAAAACACAACAATATAAGGCAATGTTACTTTAATTCAGAAAACAAACAAACAAAAAAAAAACAGGAAGTAGGATCAGAGAAAGAAAATTGCTGGAGAAAATGTCATTTGTAATCAATATTCTAGCATAGGTGCACTTAGCAATTGGTGCTAGTTCAGTCTCGAAACAAAAATAACCTCCATATACGTGGTAAGGAATATGTTTACTCAATTTCATTCAGAACAGGTTTTCTCTGAGGCTTTTTATCATCAGATCTACTTACCTCCCTCAACAAATTGACTATTTTTGTGAAAGAATCTTGTTTAGTTTTCTGCTCCTTTACACCCTTTTGTTAAAGTCTCAGGTTTTGGCTTCACATGTTCTGTGTTTACAGTGATCAGCTGCATGTAGGATAGCTATGGGAACCTCTTGACAGTTGCCTTTCTGTGCATTCCTTTCTTTCTGAAGGGCAGGAACCCGTGTGGGAAATGTCTAGGAGCCCATAACTATGAAATACTCTTTTATTGATTATTGTACTTGGTGAAAATTGCGAAGTGAACTAACAGGAAAGGGATTATCTTTGTTCTCCTCATCATAGTGGCCCCCTTATCCTTGGGGGGATGTGTTCTGAGACCCCCAGATGATGCCTGAAACTGCAGACTGTACCGAGTACTCTACATGCTGTTTTTCCTACACATACGTGATAGTTTAACATATCAATCAGTTTAAGATCTCAAGAACAGCCGTACTAAAATAGAACAATTATAACCATATACTGCAATAAAAATGAGGTGAATGTGGTCTCTCTCTGTCTCAGATTTTCTCATTATATGTATTTTTAGACTGTGGTTAACCACGGTTAAATGAAATCTCAGAACGTGAAACCATGGAGAAGGGAGACCACTACACTGTCATTACTGTATCATCCTTGCTCGTGACCTTTCAAACACTGATTTCAGGGGACGAATATGTCCACCACACTGTTAAGCGTGTAAAACACTGTTTAGAAGCACATGTATAAAAGGTTTCCAGATTGCTGCTTGCACGTGACACTGAGAACATTTACGTAGTAGGGTGAAATTATTTCTCATTGTGGATGAATGTTTTGTATGTGGATTACTTTCCCAACAGGCAGTGGACGGAAGCCAGTTATAATCACAGCACCAGCAAGTGTGAAGGTGGTGGATGGAGACTTCGTTACTTTGTCCTGCAATGCCACCGGGGTGCCTGTTCCAGTCATTCGTTGGTACGACAGGCATGGGTTGATAACCAGTCATCCGTCTCAAGTCCTCAGATCCAAATCCCGAAAATCACACTTACTGAGACCTGGGAGTGTGGACCTGGATCCTGTCTATTTTATCATGTCCCGGGCTGGCTCAAGCTCTCTGTATATCCAGACTGTCACTCAGGAGCACGCCGGGAAGTACATCTGCGAAGCTACCAACTCACATGGCACCACACGGTCAGAATCAGTCCTCACAGTTGGTGAGTTGCATTAGTGTTTTTCTCAGGTAAACAGTTTCCTTTGATTGTTGGGGATAAAGTTTGTTAACCTAGCAATCTCTAAATATGTATATATTTTTCTGATGAGCGTGAAATATATAAGCGTATTTTTGGTGATTTGGCCTTCCCTGAGCCTCCATCTCTATTTCTGATGTGTTTCTTTAATTTGTAGTTGTCATATAGAAAGTTCTCGTTTGGGAGCAAACCCCAAGATTTGACCTATTTTTGAGGTTAATGCTTTTGTGGTTTTCTAAGCTATTGAAAATGTCATTGCTGATATTTTCCAGGTGAGCCCTGGATAAGCATTCAAAGTCTAAAATTGGCTTTCATTAAGGATGTAGTCATAGGACTGTCAAATATTACGTGTGTGTATCTCCCCTCCCATCTTATTAGTAGTTATTTTGCTAATGGAATGCATTTTATTAATTCTATTTTGCTGGTATTTGGTGATGGTGGCTTAAAAAATTTGTAAAATTTTTGAAGTATTCATGTATGGGATATTAATACAATTAAAATCAATTCAAATTTGACTTAAGTTTCATATTCAAACCTTATATCAACCTTTAGAGCAATGGTCCCAACACATAGTCAGTATTTATCATGTGGCAGGCTCAGTGTCATGGAGCAGTTGTACTGTCCTTAGTCTTGGCAGCTGGGGTCCCTGCCCTGAGCCTCTGAATTGGAGGGCTTCTTGTGACCCTCTTGTGCCTTGGTCCTCAGATACCACAGGTTAAAAAGTTCATGAGGGCAAAGGGCTGTGCTTACCTGGAGCTTGGAGCCCATGTTCTCCTTCTAGACAACAGGTGTGGGGCTGCAGAATTGCCTTTTATTACTTTACAGTCTTGCTCCACACAGGTCTTTCCCCAGGTCCATCCTCCAGAGTGTGGAACCCCTCACCACTGTGCAGGTGCCCTGAACTCACTAAAGGAGTGGCCATGGGAGCTCTTCGGCAAAGGTGTGATGATGAGCTAGACAGTTTGGATGTGTGCTCAGGTGTTTCCATTCACACGGGCACAAGGAGCTCTGGCTCTGGATGAAGCCAGAGGTAGGAAGAGAAGTGGGGAGGCCAGGGACTTTGTTATGTTCTTGTGATGCTCCCTGAGTGCCAGAGGTAGAGCATGTGGGCCCTGATGCTGAGGAGCTTTGTAGCCTGCATCAGGTGCCTCTGCTTATTTCCTCATTGGTGTGACAGGTATAATGAAGGTGGCTACTTGTGGGGCTGATTTAAGAATTTAAGGAGTAAAGTGCTTAGAATGGTATCTGGCAATAGAAAGCCTTCAATTACATCATAATTATTGCTAATTGTTTTTAGTTATTTTAACATGTATTATAATAATGATTTAATAATTATTAATACATCGTAGTGTATAGGGAAGAAAGAAATAGCCACTGATTGTAGTAACCTTAAGAATCCTCAAATGAAGGTAGTTGTATAAATCTATACAGATATGCGAATGTGTATGTTATGTTTATTCTGCCAAGCGAAAATAAGAGTGGCTCTGCTCAAAATTGTTAGCTAGAAGACAGGTGTCATGCAGGTGTTGTTTGGGTAACTTTTAGCTGAAGTGATTATTTTATGTAATTATAGAGTAGAAGGAGCCAAAGATATTACAGTAGTAGCTGATGGAACCAAATATTTTATCTAACTGCCTCGCTTGGAATATAAGCTATCTGAAGCCCTTAGAAAATACATAAAAAACTTCTTTAGATCTTCAAGATTCTCCCCTTCCAGGATTTTATGTCTTGATAAAGACCCTTTTTATTTATTTTTTAAAGATTTATTTATTTATTTATGCATACAAGAGCTGGGGTACAGGCCAGAGGTGTGTGTGGGGGGTGTGTGAGAGAGGATTCACCAGAGACAGAGTGGGGAACAGAACAGGCAGATCGACTGAAATACACTGCTGAGGGGAGCAGCAGGCGTGTCAGGAGAGGTCTGCTGCGCCATGTGGGTTGCTCCCTGGCTGGCCAGGAATCGAACTTGTGCTGCAGTGGCTGCGGACAGCCTCATAGGTTGCGTCTTAACCCTTGTGCCACCAGGGAGGCCCCAAGACCCTTTTTATTTATCAGGGGATAAATAACCCCATTAGCTGCATCCTACCTACATGGCCCTGCATTGGCTCTTGTTCATGCTGTATGATAATTAGGAAGATACAGCTGAATTTGTTAAAGCTCAGGCAGACTCTAACGGCCCATTTCTTTCTACAGGAAGTTGAGCCTTATTAAATTCTAGCATATTAATACCATTTACTTGGCTTATTGTGAAGGAGGCAGTAAGCAAGATTGGAGAGATGGCTCCTTGCCCAAAGCCCCTTCTTTCCAGAGACCTTGGGTTTTTGAGGTCCTGGATGTACACATGTTTGTAGAGAGAGTTGCAGCTCTTTATGGTGTTAATGGAAGTTGGCCTGGGTTTCCTGAGTAGTTTGAGATGGGAGTTGCTGGCATGAGTGGGCACAGATCTGGTTATATTCCCTGTTTAATTGGTTCCATTCAGTCATTCATTCGTTCCATTGCCATAGTTATAGTACTGAGCAAACTGGAGTTTTGTCAGCCTTTTATTGCAATTAAAAAAATCTTACTTTAAAAAATGCCAGATGTCTATTCTGACCATTTCACAGAGTTATTTTGAAGATAAATTGAGATAACATATGCGGAAAAACTTAAAAGCATTAATTTAATTTGTAAGTAGTGTCAAATTGAGTGTGAGTGCTTATATTAAATTATTGAGAGTTGGAGAGGAAAATTAATTGCAACCCCTTTTAAATACAAGTTACAGAGAAGTCTCCTTGCATTATAAATAACAGAAATGGAATTTTGATGCCCACAGAGCAGCCCCAGCTTTCACATCAACTTTTTCTCTTGCCTCTATATAAACTGAGGCATCGTGGTATTTTAAACTCTTCTAAAGCCAGATACCACATCCCAATGGTATCCTGTGCAGAGAATCTGTGAAACTTCCAGTGACAAAAAGGCTGTCCCACTACTCTAAGCCACAGCTAATTACCTCCACTTGCTGGAGTCCAGCTCTGCATTAGCAGCGCCGGCTCACCCCCGTCCACCCAGCCCAACTCTGACTCACTCCATAAACAGGCCTGTTCCAGGAGCAATGTTTTGAAGTTGTCTCAGTGAACTTCATTAGTTTTCTCCATTTTTTTTTTTTTTTTTTTTACTGGTTTCTTGCTTTCTTAGATGGAGATGCTTCTGGGACACCTTTTCCTTTTTTTAAACAGAGAACTGGCCTTACCCGGTTACTCCTGTTTTCTATTGCTTCTTTACTAAACTGTAGGAGTTCTCCTAAAAACACACCCACCTTTTACAGGAATCTGACTTCATTGTGGAAAAGAAACTGTAAGATTGTTTCCTCTGCTCTATTGCCCGACAAAAGTAGGCAGGAGTAGGAGACTTTTTGCTGCCAGTATTAAAAACACTGTTAGAGAAGCCAAGTTGTCAATTCTTAAATTTATTTTATTGTACTGGCAGTGTGTTTGTTTTCATAAATTGCTCTCATTTTTTCACTGTAGCACCCCTACACATTCTCCTGCCTATTATTGCTTAATATCTCAGAATCCTACCTCCTTCATCTGTAAAGTGACAGTATTACTCTCTACTAGAAATGTTTATTTTTTTTTAATTTTTTTTAAAGATTTATTTATTTATACAAGAACGGGGTATAGGCCAGATGCGTGGGAGGGTGAGAGGATTCACCAGAGACAGAGTGGAGAGCAGAACAGGCAGACTGACGAAACACACTGCTGAGGGGAGCAGCGGGCGCGACAGGAGAGGTTTGCTTTGCCATGTGGGATTCTTGCTGGCCAGGTGGCCAGGATCAAACCCATACTGCAGAGGCTGCAGACAGCTTCACAGAGTGGTGCTCTACCACCTGCACCACCAGGGAGGCCCATAGAAATGTTTAGAGAATTAAATGAGACTATGTTTATTAAGTATTTAACACAATGCTTGGCACAGATGTGCTCAATTTTTTTTTTCTGGATTATTTGATGCCTATTTATTTTTCTAGTGAAAATTATTTTTATCTTTGTCTCTTCTGTAGGCTTTGAGTAGTAAGTATTAAGGCTGTCTGCTTCTTTTACCTGTCTTCAGATTGGCACTTTCTTAACCTTCAGTTCGATCCAGAAGGACAGCTTGTTGGAAATAAGTAAACTCTCCTTTTGTCTTTGTGATCTTGTTTCATTTCTTGCCTCTTCTTGAATGTAGACTGTTTCCCATGTGGATGATAGGTATTTTAAGTATTGCTGCATAACTACCCAAAGGATTAATGACTTAAAACATTAACCCCTTTAATGGAGCTTCCATATGATCCAGCAATTGCACTCCTAGGTATTTACCCAAAGGACACAGAATCATTAATTCAAAAGGGCACCTGCATCCCTATATTTGTAACAGCACTATTTACAATAGGTAAGCTATGGATACAACCCAAATGCCCAAAAATAGATGACTGGATCAAGAAGATGTGGTACATATACACCATGGAATATTACTCAGCATTCAAAAAAGATAAGCTCATGCCATTTGCAGTAATATGGATGGAGCTGGAAGGGATCATGCTCAGCGAAATAAGCCAGAAAGAAAAAGAAAAATATCAGATGGTCTCTCTCATAGCAGGAATTTAGAAAACCTAAATAAGGGACCAGGAAAATGACTAACTGTAATAAAGTAAAAATCAAAATCAACAAGCAACTATAAACCAGAGACACACTACGGGGGTGAGGGAGAAGGAGGAGGGATTAGGGTCAAAATAAGGGGGAGTGGGAATTATATGGGGAATATAACCAAGATGAAAATGCATACATTGTGAAAAAATAAAAAATGATGTAAAAATATATAAAATAAAATAAAATAAAAATATTAACCCCTTTATTATCTCCTAGAAGTCTCTGGTCAGTTGGATGAAGCTAGGCAGTCCTGCTGGCCTTGCTTGGGGTCTCTAATCAGTTCTAATCAGATGGAGTCTGGTGCTGGAACAGACATAGTGACTTCACTCACATGTCCTTGGGAAGGCACTACCTAACGCCCTTTTCTCTCCCTCCTCCCCTTATACATCCTTATGTGGCAACACAAACATAGAAGTGCCAGGTATTCTTAAGGCTTCGAACTGGGAGAGCACAGCCTCCTTTCTGCTTTCCATGGTTAGAGCTGGTTACAGGGCCAATCTAGATTCAGCCCAGGAGGTATCCTTGGAGACTAGTTCCCCAGATGGTTATAGTAGCCTGCCTCTCAATCATTCCCTCACTATTTAATTCACTTTGTTACCAAGGGAGTGCATGTTTCTCCAACAACATTTAAAGCTCCATGTTCTTCTACTTAAAATCTTCTGAGGTTAAACTAGCAAGTTGTTTTACTACATATGTAGAACAAGGATAACAAATTCTGTAAATCACTAAATGACTGCATTGTGAAATTTTCAAATGGTTAAATTGTTCCTTCATCAGCAAGACTGCTGCTGGAGGGTCAATGTTTCCATGAGCTATGAACTGAAATGCTACCCGTTTTAAATTCTAGGGCTCACCTGTGCTAACAGCATCAGTGCTGGCAGCTGGATTGTTGTTCAGACGACCCTGAGCTCATGAATTGCTCTGAATATTTTTTTCTCTTTCTCCCTTTCTCTGTAGTTCCTTATGAAACAAACACAAAAGCAGACACAGTCACACCTTCAGATGCCACTCAGAATGATGGAAGAGATGGTTCAGAAACTGGGTTATTGAGCGCATTTCCAGCGAAGGAACATTCCAGTGTGGTAGAATCATCATCAGAGAAAAATGCTAGTGGGGTCTTGGTCCCTGATGCCCCCATCATTTTGAGCCCCCCACAGACCCACACAGCAGACACATACAGCCTGGTGTGGAGGGCAGGGAAGGACGGTGGACTGCCCATCAACGCCTATTTTGTGAAGTATCGAAAGGTAATGTCTTCCCATGTATCATCTTTCTCTTCTCACACCTCGCGTGTATAGCATATACTATCCTTTACATTGGTGGAGTGGTGGGAAACAGGACAAAAGCCCAGGATGTTGGCTTTGGCAGAGAGAGCCCAGCATTTGTGCTGGCTTCATCAGCCTTATAAAAGCAGTAAGAATGAAGTATAAATAATTTTCCTCCCAAACTGAGATTCTGATGACCCAGTAACATCTTGACTTCTTGTTAATCAAGCATTTTCACACCTTGGGTATAAAATGCTATAAACCATTTTTTTTTTTTTTTTTTTTTTCAGGATGGCAAATGATTTTTTTTAAATGTTTTATTTTATATAATTTTTACATCTTTTTTCACCTTTGCACAATGTATGCATTTTCATTTTGGTTATATTCCCCATACAATACCCACCCCCCCTTATTTTGACTCTAGTCCTTCCCGCCCCTCCCGCACCCCTCCCCCCCCACCTCGTGTGTCTCTGGTTTATAGTTGTTTGTTGATTTTGATTTTTACTTTGTATTGATTAGTCTTTTTCCTGGTCTCTTATTTAGGTTTTCTAAATTCCTGCTATGAGTGAGACCATCCGGTATTTTTTCTTTTTCTTTGACTTATTTTGCTGAGCATGATCCCTTCCAGCGCCATCCATGTTGCTGCAAACTGCATGTGTTTATCTTTCTTGATTGCTGAGTAATATTCCATGGTGTATATGTACCACATCTTCTTGATCCAGTCATCTATTTTTGGGCGTTTGGGTTGTTTCCAAAGCTTAGCTATTGTAAACAGTGCTGCTATAAACATAGGGGTGCAGGTGCTTTTTGGAATTGATGTTTCTGTGTCCTTTGGGCAAATACCTAGGAGTGGAATTGCTGGATCATATAAACCATTTTTTAAAAGGTTATTCCTTCCCTTTCTAAGATAGTAGTATACAGTTTATTTAGCAGCCTCACAGCCCGGTGCTCAACCGCTGCGCCACCAGGGGAGGCCCTCAAGCAGTTTTTTTTTTTTAATAAAGTTTCTCTTTTTCTTTTTTTTTTAAAGATTTGTTTATTTATTTATTTATACGAGCACTGGGTACAGTCAGAAGCGCGGGAGGGTGAGAGAATTCACCAGAGCCAGAGCGGAGAGCAGAGCAGGCAGAAGGACCGAAGTACACTGCTGAGGGGAGCAGCGGGTGGCAGGAGAGGTCTGTGCGCCATGCGGGACCCTCCTCCGGTTGCCGGGGAGCAGCCGGGGATCGAACCAGCGCTGCAGAGGCTGCGGGCAGCTTCGCAACCCAGCGCTCAACCGCTGCGCCACCGGGGAGGCCCTCAAGCAGTTTCTTATTAGAAACAATTGCTTGAACAAAGTCTGGAGTCATCTCTAAAAATTATCTGCATTTCAAGTTGTTTCCTCCTTGATTGTATTAGAATCTTACATTGTGTGGCCACTTTGATTACTTATTTATGGTAAACGTAGGTCCTCTATCAGTTGATTTCCCAGATGCTTTCTCTTTGGAAGCTTGTATTAAAGGAAAATGAAAAAAATCTTTGCTCTGTTTAGTAAGACTAGTAAATGAAAGAAATGAGAGGAGATGCACTCATATATATATTTGTGAGTTATCACTAGTTTACAGTACTGTAGCTGATTGTATGACTTAGGGGTATAGGTTCATACCACTTCAGATGTATGTCACCACATCACACCCACCACAAAGTACCCATAGTCCTTCACCAAAGTGCACTGAACCTCCACCCCATGTTCCATCCCTACCCTTTCCTGCTGGTAGCTTCTGTTCGATGTGCTCATATTTAATGTTCTTTGTCCAAGGTATTTTGGTATTCATCATTTAATAGTTACAGTTTTACATCTGGAAAGATTAACATGGTGATAGTTGAAAGTTTGCCCACTGTTTCTAAACTGATGATTCTACATGAAGAATGTTCATTGTTCTTATCCACATGAAAATCCATGTAAGATTGTTGGCTCCGTAACCAGGACATAGGGGATTGGATCTCTTTATTCCCTCCAATACAGATCGAACAATTCAAGACATGAAACAGGAATGCTGGAAATATATAATTGTATAATTCACAAACATACAAGCATATATAGTCTGTATTCTAATTTATTATACATTATGTATGTTACATGTTGTTATTACTACATATTATTGTATACTTATTTTATCCTCTCAGTAGCCCAGCAAGAAGGGAGTATTGTGTCCATTACAAATAAGGGAAACACACTTTAGAAAGGCAAATGGAACGTGTTTGAGTAAGTAGAGAAGCCAGCAGTCATTTTATAGTGAAAGTTACCAAGTTTTTGATGTATGTCTCTTTTACTTGAAATAGTATATCACTTCCCAAAATTCATCTAAAATTGAATGACTTCTAGTTTTTAGCTAATGTGAGTGGAAGGCTTTCCAGTCCTTTGTCTCCTCTTTTTAACAACTTGACTTCTCTGGAGCAGTTAGATGATGGTGTTGGCGCGGCGGGAAGCTGGCACACTGTTCGGGTCCCAGGAAGTGAAAATGAGCTCCACTTAACAGAACTGGAGCCATCTAGTCTCTATGAGGTCTTGATGGTAGCAAGAAGTGCAGCAGGTGAAGGACAGCCTGCTATGCTTACCTTCCGAACTAGCAAAGGTGAGTATAATCTGCCTTTTAGAAGAATGAGCTGGCTATTGTGCTAATACTTTATTAGTAGATATTTTTTTGGGGGTAGTGCAGATTCTCATATATACATTGGTTAAATAAGTTTATGATTGTGCCATGTTTTCATGCTGCATTATTCTGTCTAAGCCAATATTCCACAAATATTTTTGCGAGCTTATGATATATAAGGCATTTGGGTAGATGATACAGGGGAAACAAAATGACCAAAGTAAGGTCCATCCTAACAGAGTTTCTACTTAGCTCAGAAAGGTCACACATATACATAAATCCTAACTACAAGGCAAAAATTCCAGTTCAGCTAGCATTTATTGACTTTCTTCTGTGTGTTGGTCAATCGACAAAACACCTTTCCCTCATGCAGTTTGCATTCCAGTTGGGAGAGACTTATACCTAAATTCTAAGTATATTAGAAGGTTGTAAGTGTTAATGAGAGAAATAAGTTAGGGGGTAGATACGGGAGTGTAAGGGGTATAACAGTTGTCACTGTTGAAGCAGGTGGCCAGAGCTATCAGTGAACAAATGACAGCAGAGCAGAACTTAAAGAGGTGAAGTGGAAAGCCACTGGGCCATCTAGCAAAAGAACACCCCTCAGGGGAATTACTAGTGCAGAGGCTCTGGAGTGGGGTATCTGGTGTGCCCAGGGAGCACTGAGGGGGCCACGGTGATGGGAGTGAGTGAGGAGGCTGCAGGGAGTGCTCTCAGGACTTGGCAGAGTGACCAAATCACACAACCCTGGTCCACTCTGCAAGGACTTTGACTTTGATTCTGAGGGAGCTGGAGGCATTAGAGGGCTTTGAACAGAGTCGCAAGTTTTGCTGGCTGTTTCAATGGGATGATTCTGTCTGTAGGGAGGGATAAACTGGAGGAGGGCAAAGGTGTAGGCAAAGAGACCAGACCATGACAAGTTCTGTGAGAGACTTACATAGAGAGCGCTGGAGTACAAAAAAAGGATGCTCTTTCTGTGGGGCAGTTTATGAGGGCAAGTGTGGCTGAAAAGGTGACTTCTTACACTGGCCATAAATGGGCAAAAAGACTTAGCGAGCAGAGATGAGAATTGGGTGGAAGGAGATATGATTGAGAAGAAATTTTATGTTAATTTTTGAAAAAGACTCTTACTCTAATTGCTGAGACTGACTAGAAGAATGAGTATTTCTTACTTCAAAAGTATTCTGATTTTATAATTAGTCCTTATTTATAGTGTGAACTTACAAATGCTGAATATTAAATGTGTGTTAATTTAAAAGTCATCACCCAGTTTCACTTTTTGCCTCTTGAAATTTTAGAACTTAACTTGACAATTTTTCTGTGAAGAAACTTAACAGCTCTTGAATGATGAATTTTATGTTTTAGAATTAAGATTTATATACAATAAGAAAAATGGATGAATATTTGAGAATCTTTAGTTATTTGGCTTTTTCCCATGCGTTATTATTTTGTATGTGTAAATTAAAGTTAACTGATGAAGAAAGACACATTTTAGGTTTCCTTTAAAGATATTAGAAAAAAGTCAACGGGTTTTTAATTAGGTCTTAGATTTTAGACACTATAACAGATAAATCCCTGCATTTATGTCTATATACTGGTTGAGCTGCATAGTATCTTTTCTTACTTTATATGTGAACATAAGGTTATGTTACAGTGTATGTTTTTTAACCTTTCTAGAGAAAACAACATCATCGAAGAACACCCAGATATCCTCTCCACCCGTGGGTGTCCCTAAGCGCCCCATAATATCAGAGACTGCAGAAAATTTTGGAGTGGTACTTAAAGATTCCTCTAGGCATAGTGGAGGTAAAGAGAAGAATCTTCATCTTGTTCATTTTCTTTGTTTACAAATGTAACTGACTGGAAAAACAAAACAAAACAAAACAAAACAAAAAAGCCAAAACAAATGTAACTGACTGGTTTTAGATTATCTAGGGGGTGGGACAGAACTGGATGTTTGTTACTCAGATTATATGCTACCCTGTAGGTCTATTAGGTTCTCTTTCAACTATTTTAATGTCCTGCATTCAAATCTTAGTAACTCACTGACATAACTGGTATTTATGATCATGAACTCAGGTTCTAAATATTTCGATAAGTTGTTATAACTTACAAAAAGGGTTTTTCTGTCTCCTTTCTGGCAAGGAAGCCAAATCTAAAAAATAAATAAATTCCATCTTTATGTTACATTATTTTGGTTTCAGGAAATGAAACTCAGCATAATAATTTGATATTTGTACATATTGTTGAATATCACAATAAGTCTGTTTACCATCTTTTCTTAGCAACTTTCAATTTTGTAATGCCATATTATTAAGTATAGTTCTCACGCCATACTTTACATATCCTTGACATATTTATTTTGTAACTGAAATTCATACCTCTTGATCCCCTTCATCCATTTCACTTACTCCCAACCCTTTATGTGGTAACCACCAATCTATTTCCTGCTTCTGTGATTTCAGTTTTGTTTTATTTGTTTGTTTCATTTAGCCTAATACACTCAAGGTCCATCCATGTTATCACAAATAGCAAGATTTCATTCTTTCTCATAGCTAATATTCCCTTGTGCAAACACCAATCTTCTTTATCCATTCATCCATCAGTGAGCAAATTCATATTTTGAACTTTGATGACACTTTGGGTTTGTGTCTTATCAAAATGTATGGTATTTCTAGATACATTCCCCCCTGTCCCCCCAAAATTTTCTTTTTCCTATTTGATCTTTGGTGATTTTTAACCTCATACAAATCAGCATAAGGAAGTTATTCAGCTGTTTAGTTTTAAAAAAAAGAGATTCACTAACAGTTCTGTTCATTCTGTTTCCATTGCTTTCTAATTTGAAAGGAATACAGTAAGTATCACTCAAAGTTGCCTGCATAATTTTTCCATGCAAGTTATGCATCCATATTTCCTTCATTTCTACATGTTGTATTGTGGAGTGAAAAGGTGTTGAGACAGAGGTGTTGCCTGGGGAGTGGGCACGGGCTAGACAGAGCCAGGACACCCTTAGTGATTTTACCGCAGTCACAGAACCAAGGGCCCAGATCAGGTCCTCACATCCAAGCTCTGGACATTTGATTAGCAATATGCTGAGAGAGCTGTTCTTTAGAGAACCAACTCAAGTTTACAAAAATTCACAGGTGAACGACAGTTTACTAATTTACTAATTGATGTGGCTATTACAGAGACCAAATTGCTTCTATCAGCATTGTTTTCTTGTGGGAGCAGAGTGGGGAGCCAATTAGCATCTCAAGGAGAGTGGTCTGTGGTTTAAATGGCTGGTGAACTTCCTCCCCATGTTTCCACCTGCTACAGGATCCACACGACTGACCTGTGGCTTGAGGCATACCCTCCACTTGGCAGTGCTCACTCAAAACTACCAGGCTTCAGCTCTCATACCCCCTGTTGATACCTCCTGTTCATAAGGATCATCTGTTTTCTGATAGCACTTTATTTAACTGCACAGTGTGTCTTTCTGCTTTCAGCCTGAGTGCTCTCTTCCCATTTTTGTCAGCTTGATTCATTAATCAAACTTTGTCTGTTACCTGGGTCTGTTTTTTAGAGTAGCATTCGTGAAACCTTAAGCTATGTTAAGATAGGACATAATAGCTGTAGCTAATGTAATCATTTGTAGATCGTTTGTTGAATGTGTTTTGTGTAGCTTGGATGGATAAAGAAAAACATTTAAATAAGATAGCATAACTGAAAATTTATAGCCATAAGCAGACTTGAATCACCAAATAATTATTTAATGTTAGAGTCATGAATCCAGAAGAGTGTGGTCACAGTTATCAGGCTCATTAACTTTACCTTTTTCAGAGCTAATTATAAAATTTATAGATTATTTTACTTTTCCTTCTTGTATTCGGCCATTTCACTGCTGACTAGCTTTTAGCGGAGGATGGGAAGGTATTCAGAATACTATTAACTCTGGCAAAATGTTTGGTGAAGAACCTTTAATAAACTGTGGTTTGAGGTCTATCCTGTTTGGTTTATTGTAGCTATCTGTATCTCTGACACCGCAGGTTATTAAAATGAATATTTTGCATTTGTAGTTCCAGAGGCCCCAGATAGGCCTACAATCTCTACTGCTTCAGAGACATCTGTCTACGTTACTTGGATTCCTCGGGCAAATGGGGGCTCTCCAATCACAGCCTTCAAGGTTGAATATAAGCGGATGAGGACCAGTGATTGGCTGGTGGCAGCAGAAGACATCCCTCCTTCTAAACTCTCTGTGGAAGTCCGCAGTTTAGAACCAGGTTGTAATATTAGATATTTCCTTCTATTATCTTCAGTGCTGACTTTAGATGCTTTTTTTTTTTTTTTTTTTTTTTGGGACCCTCGCCGGGGAACAAACCGGCGCTGCAGAGGCTGCGGGCAGCCTCGCAGCCCAGCGCTCAACCGCTGCGCCACCAGGGGAGGCCCTAGATGCTTATTTTTAATAATCTTACAGTTTTCTAATTATTAAAGTGATGCAAGCTTATTGTATAAAAATTTGAAAATTAAAAAAAAAAAAGAGAGAGAGAATCAGCCTCCTGAAATCTACTCATCCAGAGATAGCCATTGTTTACATTTTGGTGTATTTCTCCCTAGCTTTTTTTCTCTTTTTAATACAGACTCATGCCATAAATATTATTATTTTGTGACCCATTTCCCTCATATATATATTCTAATCATTAAAAATGCTTCAAAAACTCAAGTTTTAGTAGCTATATATGTCTACCATAGTAATAGATCATCATTTACTCTATCCATTCTTTATTTCTAGGTTTATTTTAGATTATTTTTACTTCTTCACAATTAGAAATAATATTGTGGCAAAGTCTTTGTGTGTTTTGCTATGAAGGAAATTGGTCCTTTGGCCAAAATAATTTGATCTCATTGCTATTAAACTCAGAACTTAGTTATGTAGAAATAAAACAACACTTAGTACTTGTATTTTCTGTCAATTTTGTTTCAGCAGACAACCCCTTCCCCCCAATATGTTGAGGCTATATGGAAGAAATTGTACAGTAAAAGAGATAAGCAGGGATCACAACCTGTCATTTATTTAGGTCTCAGAACCATTTTCCTTTGTGGACTTTTAGATGAGTTTTAGTAGGAAATGTCTGTGTTTGTCTAAACAGGTACCACAAGGAGTGCAGAAATATGTTGGTACAGTTGGGAACTGTAGAGGCAGTTTTAAATGTGGAGAAAACTGAAGAACATTTACCAATGGAAAACACTGTCTTCAGAAGTGGTTATGTTTGTGTTATTAGGAAACATGCTTTAGAATTCTAATTTATTCTTTTAAATTCAGATTTTTAGAAACTCATAATCCTTAGATTTTTTTATCTTCCTTTTTTTAAAAAGATTTATTTACTTATGCATACAAGAACTGGGGTACAGGCCAGAGATGCGTGGGGTGAGAGGATTCACCAGAGACAGAATGGGGAACAGAACAGGCAGACTGACTGAAATACGCTGCTGAGGGGAGCAGCGGGCGAGTTAGGAGAGGTCTGTAGTGCCATGTGGGTTTCTCCCTGGCCGGCTGGGGATTGAACTCTTGCTGCAGAGTCTGCGGCCTGCTTTGTAGTGCGGTTCTTAACCCCTTGTGCTACCAGATATGCCCTTTTTTATCTTCTTAATATCCAATCCAAAGAAATACCTTCTGTTGTAGTTCAAATCTGCTCCCTCTTGCCCTATTATTAGTAGTCAGAGTGACATCTGCCATCACCCACACAGTGCCCTTCTTAAATGTATTCATCATATTAGACTTCGCCTCAGTGGTTTCTTTCAAAGGAAAAAGAACCTAGTTTGGGGCACAGATACTTCAGCTTACACAGTATCTGATAGATATGACTTAAGGATGAGGATGGTTAAAAATGTACTCTCCCTGTTCTCTATCCGGCCCCTCCATGACACAGATCACTGCATGGCTTTCTCTCCCAGTGACTGCTAATAAGGCGTTGGATTCTTGAATGCAGTGCACTCAATAGTCACTGTAGTTAACAGAAGATGTCACGTGGGTTGAAAGCCATTTACCTTACAGGCTTTAGAGTATGTTACTGTTACTGTAGGTAAATACTAAAGTACAATTGTCATATTTTGAATTTATACCTTCAGTTGTCATTTATGACTTTTAAAATTTATCTTTTATTTATTTTTTTCCTTCCTCAAAAGGCTCAACATACAAATTTAGGGTCATTGCCATCAACCACTATGGTGAAAGTTTTCGGAGTTCAGCATCTCGTCCTTATCAGGTGGCGGGGTTCCCCAATCGTTTTTCAAACCGTCCGATCGCTGGACCTCACATTGCGTATACAGAAGCTGTCAGTGACACTCAGATCATGCTAAAGTGGACAGTAAGTAAAGCATCTTCTATGATGAGAAGGTTCTCTGTTTTGGCCTATTTGACAATTTAATATTCTCATGAGATGATACAATGAACAGCATATCTTTCAACTTTTAACTGCAGAAAAAACCTAGGACATATATAATTGTCTGAAAGCACATTTGTAATTGGAGCAGTGTTGAAAATAAAATTATCATTTAATTTAATCAGCTGTCATACAAGTGTTAATTTAGCATTTCATGAAGTATTCATTTGGAACCACATGTATTTTTATGCCTTTGAACCTCATGAAATATATTACTCTGCAGTAAGCAAAATGTTCTTAACACTTTGAATTAAAAATGGCCATCAGGGATGTTTGCAATATGAAGCTAAAAGAATGTTACCAACACTGAAAAGTAAATCTTAATGGACATGAAATTTACATTTATTTTGTCTCTGACAAGGCTTTGCTTCTACCTTTTTTTTTTTTTAGTACATTCCATCAATTAATAATAACACTCCCATTCAAGGATTTTATATCTATTACCGGCCAACAGATAGTGACAATGACAGTGATTACAAGAGGGATATTGTAGAAGGTAAGTTCCATTGTCAAGCTGAAGTTCTAATATGGAAGCTTTGGTGGGAAGAGGTTTATAAATATTACAAAACAAACAAACAAACAAAAAAAAAACCGGCAGTTAAAATAGAGTGAAAAATGGTGTATGCTTTATTTTCTTGAGTTTTTCTCAAAGAAAGTCATTTTTTCCAATTTAACACATATATAGTGCTTTACCTTTTGGTTATAGAAGTAAACATTTACAAAAATATGGAAGACAGATGACTTGTCAGTAATTTATCTGAAAAGAATTCTTGATTTCTGTTTAAAGATGAGTAATGAGTATAAAAATCAGTTGCAACTTTTAGCTATATTTAAATAATGTAACTCAGTCAGTAGTTCCATGGAGGTCTGTAGTAGAAAGATCCCATTTTGAGCATGTTACTACTTTTAGAGATATCTTGAGAAACTTGGATATGTGTAAGGCAAAACCAGCCAAGATGGTAAAGTCTGTTAAACTGCCTTTTTACTGACTGAAAATGGAACCGTAGTATGGCCTCTGGTCTGCAGGCCCCATGTGATTGGTGGTGCTGCAGACACTCAGCCTGTCCATTGCACCTCTCCTCTTCTCACTGCCTCCCATCACGCACTGGCCTTTCAGTTTCCTTGTGTGCACCAACATTTTTCTTGCCTCAGATAACCTCCTCCCATTTACATGAGGTAACCTGTTACAGTTGCTAATACCACCTCTTATGTTTGTTTTATAGAATTTACCACAATTTAGATGTGTGTACATGTATGAAATTATTTGCTTAAAGCTGGTCTCCTCCATTAAATGTTAACCTCTTTGTGGGCAAGGGATCTTTTTTCCCACTGCTATATCTCTAGCCCTTACAGTGGTGAGGGGTTCAGTTTGATTGAATGAATGAATGAGTCAATGAATGAATGAATGAATGGAGACCGCAAAGAATAATGGAATATCTGGGGGTGATCAGGCTAGAAAAAAAAAGTAATAGAACAGACTAACAGAATCAACATGACAGCTTTCTTCAAATATTTAAGGACTAATATATGGAAGAGAATTCCACAGTTAGAGATGTGGCAACTAAAAGGAAACAGTATAAGAGAGAACCTTCTAACATAACATTTCTAACATAGGCTAGAAACAATAAATAGATTATGGAGATGTTTAGAGAAGTTTGATATCTATTTCTCATTACTATCTTGAAAGGGGCTCTTATTTTGGGTGGAATAAGATACTCCAAGATACCACGTTTTTAAAATATTAAAGATACCATGTTTTTGAAATATTAAATGTGCCAATGGCTCATGTTAGAAAATTGCTGTAAGTCAAGGTTATTTTTATATGACTTCTTTTTTAAAATTAATTTTAAGATAAAATTATAAAATTATGTAAGTATCAGGCATACAGCATTGTTATTTGACATCTGTATTATGATTTCTCTATATCTAGTACTGCATAGTTTGTGCTGACAATAGTCATATTATAAAGCACTTTAAATATTCCCTATAATGTTTCTTTAAATATGGTAGCATCCCTTATGTTACCATATGTTTATCCAAATGAAAAATTATCATTTTATCCAAATGAAAAATTATCATTTGAGTTGTCATGCCTGGCACATAGTAGGTGCTCAATAAATATTCTTTAAGTGAAGGAATGATTGTTTATTTTCATCTGTAAAAGTAGGAAATAAATTGGTTCCCAATTATGCTGAGCAAAATAAGTGAGAAGGAAAAAGAAAAATACCAGATGGTTTCACTTATAGGTGGAATATAGAAAAACCGAACAAAAGGTCAGGAAAAAGACAAAACTTGCAAATCGACCATAGATTTGAGGCATCCAGCAGGGGTGGGGGAGGAGCAGGGGTCAAATCAGGGGAGGGAAGAGCACAAGGCACTATGGTGGTGAGTCACGGGTGCTGTGGTGGTGGGAGAAGTATGGGGACTACACCTAAGGGGAGAAATCAAATATTGTACAAAAAATGACAATGGTATAAGAAAATATCATTGATATTTTCAAGAAAATATCATATAAGAAAATATCCTAAACCCAGGCACACAAGTAAAATCTGCTTTAAGCATACAGAATAGAGAAAATGAGGGGAGGTAATTATTAGTGCAAACTATTCTGTTAATTTAAGATGACAGCTTTCTTAAGTGAGAGATATGACTTGAAAGACACCTGCTGGGTCTTGGGTGCCAGTAATACTCTCTTTCTTTTTTTTTTTTTATAGAGGCATGCTTTATTTATTTATTTATTTGTTTGTTTGTTTTGTTTATACATGCACTGGGTACAGTCAGAAGCGCGGGAGGGTGAGAGAATTCACCAGAGCCAGAGCGGGGAGCAGAGCAGGCAGAAGGACCGAAGTACACTGCTGAGGGGAGCAGCGGGCGGCAGGAGAGGTCTGCGCGCCATGTGGGACCCTCCTCCAGTGGCCGGGGAGCAGCCGGGGATCGAACCGGCGCCACAGAGGCTGCGGGCAGCTTCGCAACCCAGCGCTCAACCGCTGCGCCACCGGGGAGGCCCCAGTAATACTCTCTTTCTTGGCCAGGTGTCGGTACCATGGATGTGTTCAGTTTGTCAGCATTCAGTGAGGTGTACACTTAGGGGTACTTTTCCGTATGCATATTTACTTTGTAAAAATAGCTATTTAAAAGAAGAAATGGAGAGAACTGTTAGTGACTGTTCCTCATTTTAGTCCTTAGGTAAGTCTTCATTTTAGTTCAGCTGACTGAAGAGAATGGAATGGTCAGATTTCTATTTTAAAATTCTTCTGACAGGGCCTCCCCGGTGGCGCAGCGGTTGAGCGCTGGGCTGCGAAGCTGCCTGCAGCCTCTGCAGCGCCCGTTCAATCCCCGGCCACCTGCGAGGATCCCACTTGGCGCGCAGACCTCTCGGGCCGCCCGCTGCTCCCCTCAGCAGTGTACTTCGTCAGTCTGCTTGTTCTGTTCCCTGCTCTGGCTCTGGTGAATTCTCTCACCCTCCCATGCTGCTGACTGTACCCAGTGCTTGTATAAATAAATAAATAAATCTTTAAATAAAATAAAATTCTTCTGACAGAGGTTTTACATTTGCTATAAAACAGTTCTAAACAAGAGAAATGTAAATAAAATCAATATCCCTCTCTGTTTCTATCTCTCCACTCCTTGGTCTTCCTAGTTCCACTCTCTAGAAATATCCACTGGTGAAGAATTTTGAAACTGTATTCTCTAGTTAAATCTTTGAACTTTCGCGAGCTTGTGTGATGTGAATAGGAGTGGTGAGCTGGGAAATTACTTTAAGGGAGCTTTTGTATCCAGTAGTAATGTCTGCAAATGTGTTTTTTTTTGCCTTGTGGTTCACAGAGAACTTGTTTATAAATGTAGTAGATGGAGCACTTAGATGTTTAAGTGGGCTTCACTGTGCTGTGTAATTTGCTTATTCCTTATTTTCAAGTTTATGCTTTTGAAATTCTTTTTGTGGCAGTTGGAAACTATTGGCCTGTTCTCCTAAACCCAGGCACACAAGTATTTACTCTTTGTACCTAAAGTTTTCTTTAAAGTATTAGATTACTTATGCGTATTCAGGATTGTTTAAACTTTTGGGAAAAATAGAAAGCTCAAATTGTTAAAGAATACAGTAATAGAAGAACAATTACATTATCTTGTTGTACATGCTTCCAACATACCAGTGCTTTTGTGATAGATAATTTTATTTTATAAAGTTGAGTTCTGCATAAATCAGAGGACCAGCTATCCTGATATTTAAATCTTTGGTTTCTCACCTTTTCTAAAATGTCCCTTGAAGGAAAAAAAATGCCTGTTAAGCGAAGGATATGTTAGTTGTTGGATTTAAACCTAATAATACACTTTGTTGTCTTATTTATCTATGATCAGTAGAAACTCTTTTACTCTGTAATTTTGGTCATTGGAGGAGTTACCATAACATTGGACTATTAATCTAATAGTATATGTATTATTTTAATTATTTTCCCTTATCAGCATATCAGAAGCTTTGTTTTGTTCCATCTTTACTGTGCTATGAAAGGAAAACTTCAAATCTAGTGTAGTAATTATTCAATAGAATGTTTGTAGTTAAGTGAGAACAGGACTATGCCAAGAATTACCTTAGGATGGAGGGAAAAAAACAGATGTTTTTTAGAGAGTTTTTCGTTTAAAAATAGTTCTGTTCCAGTTTCAACCAGATTTGGAGCCAAGATTCTTTTAGGGTTCTCTTTATATTTGTAAATGGAACACAAAATTCCCCTTTCAGAGTCCCTTGATCCTAAAACAAGCAGATTCTCTTCCTTATAGAATATACATCTGTATGAATGAGGAGATTTGTATTGTGATATGGGGTTTTGATATGATAAGGAGTTTTACTTCTGGATTGAAATATTTTTGTCTGTGTTGAATTAAAAAGGAGCCTGGTGATACTGGTGCTGTCAACCAAGTAGATTTGACTTGTATATATGGTTTTGTTTAGGTTTTTCTCTCCCTTTAATTAATGCTTAAATCGGTTGGTGGTATAGTTGAGTTTCTAAGAAACAGTAGAAACAGTTTGAAGAGGTATTTTCTAAGAGGGATTAAAGGTGCTTGAAGAGTTAATTAAATCTGGCAGAAGTGTCTCTGTTTGTTAAATTTTGTCACAGGTCTGTGGAAGTAAAAATGGAGAGTGATTTATCTGGAGTGTTCAGTTTAAGAATGTTTCTAAATTAAATTTGGGCTGTGTGCCATGGATAACAGAATCATTCTATTAGAGATACTTGTGGAATTTGGAGACCCTGACTCAAAAGAAAAGAAATAGGGGGAACAGTGGCTAAGAGTTTTCCTTGTAGATTTGCTTTTTGATTATGCGTAATCTTTTATTCAGGCATTTGTTTACCTTTATGTTCTTGCCATGTCCAATGTAATGAAACTGAAAGTTTCCCTAACACCTATCTTGTAAATGACTGCTTGCTCTGATTTTGCTGATTTTGTATATCCTGTTGCTTTCTGACAGGTGGATAGAGTGGACTGACTTGTTCTGAAAACAGGGATCAGAAGACTTGAAGGATTTTTTTATATTGCATAAAATTACCATGTATTTCATAAGTCTCATCACTACTTATTTGTAATGAGACAAAGTATTACTACCAACACACCTGTATAGCTTTAATTCAGTTTATCTCTTCTCTTTGTTGTTTTTTCTTGTGATATAATAGGGATGCTATTTATATGTGATGCATTACTAAGATACTTAATGTTAAGTATGTTTTTATTGCACAAACAGCACTCTATGGTGATGGGTGCTGCTCCAACTTCATTTGGAAATTGCTAATTATAATTACACTATCATTTACGTTGTACCTAAATGTATGTAAGTATATACAGCTAATTATCTTATTTACTTCCTGTCTAGGTTCAAAGCAGTGGCACATGATTGGCCACCTGCAGCCAGAAACCTCTTACGATATTAAAATGCAGTGTTTCAATGAAGGAGGAGAGAGTGAGTTCAGCAACGTGATGATCTGTGAAACTAAAGGTAGGAGCTTTTTGAGAATTTGTGCTTTTCTCCTAAAGGATCCTAAAATTCCAAACTCTAGATTAGTCCTTCTGACTGTCGATATGTTTACCTAAGGAAATGTCTGCTTTGGACCATTTTGTAGGTGTTTACATTTAGATTGTCTCAACAGAAAGTATAATATGGTGTCAAGAATCACACTTATCTAAAAAGTGGTTTAGGGCCTCCCCAGTGGCGCAGCGGTTGAGCGCTGGGTTGTGAAGCTGCCCACAGCCTCTGCGGCGCCGGTTCGATCCCCGGCTGCTCCCCGGCTACCGGAGGAGGGTCCCACATGGCGCGCAGACCTCTCCTGCCACCCGCTGCTCCCCTCAGCAGTGTACTTCGGTCCTTCTGCCTGCTCTGCTCCCTGCTCTGGCTCTGGTGAATTCTCTCACCCTCCCGTGCTTCTGACTGTACCCAGTGCATGTATAAACAAAACAAACAAACAAATAAATAAATAAAACATGCTTCTATTAAAAAATAAATAAATAAATAAAAAGTGGTTTACCCAAGCATTAATCCTACTTGTTAATTTCTGTGTGACCAAAGTAAGTCATTTCCCTTATATTTTTTCCTCAGTTAGCGTAAGTATTTGCTGACCAATTTCTGAGATTGCTGTGAGAATGGGAATACTAAAACAAAGTGTAAGATTTGAAGGAAAAGCATTATGCTTGTGTTAAAAATGGTTTCTTGAGTGGCAGATATGTGTAACACTGCTTGTCTAACTGTAATTGTTCAGCTTGAATTAGCATATGCTACTTCTAAGTGGAAATTCTCAACTCTGCCTACATACATACACCAACTGTAAAATACTACCATCTCTTGAGAAATGACTCAGGTTCTTGTCATGAACTGTGATTTTTTAATCTGCGAGGTTTTCAGAAATGACATTGAAGTCCAGCCATGTCCTCTACCCTGAAAGATCAGACTGTCATGAGCCTTCCATTTGTCCTTTAGTTTATGTTTTTCACCTCACCTTTCTTGCTGCAGGGCCTTAGCTGTGTCTTCTTACTGAAGCTAATGGGTCTCTCTCTCTCTCCCCCTCCACTGTAAGACCTCTGTCCTCAGTTTTTTGTTTTTTGTTTTTATTGCAGTAACATTGGTTTATAACATTGTGTGTGAGAGCAAGAGTTTGGAAACCAGACCATCAAGCTTGGTAGAATGATGAACAAATTGAGAGTAAATAAAGAGGGAATAAACCTGGAGGACTTCCCTATGAGTAATCATGATCTTTAATGTATGATGTGTAACATCCATTTTGCCTCAGAACCTTGTTTGTTTTCTTTAGACCTGGCAGGGATCTTAGAATTGTATAAGCCAACATACCTCCTGAAGTAGAAATTTCCTTTCGAGTCTCTGCCAAATATTCATACAGCTTTCAGTGATGGAGAGCTCCTTCCTTTGAAAGGCAGCCTCCTCTTTCCTAATTCCCTGCTTTGTTCTGTGTAATTCAAGTTAGAAAGTTAAACTATAGAATAATGTTTGTTGAAGTAGATTTTTTAAAAACACAACTCTGTTCTTGTGGGGTGTTAGGAGCCATAACAGGAAAGGTAGTATAATAGCCAATAACCATAACTACATTGTGCAATGTGCCAGCTTCTATTAAGTGTTCTCCGTAGCTTAACTCCTCTCCCCTTCACTGCAACCTTCGATGGGGCTGCTGGCATTATATCCATTTCCCACATGCAGAAGCTGGTCCATGGAGGTGAAAGCCACACAGCTAAGTATAGGTGGTTGAGCTGGTGATACACCCAGGCAGTCTGATTCCAGAAGCCAGGCTGTCATCCACTGTGTTCTACTGCTCTTCTCCGACACGGAGAGATTATGAGCGTTTTATTTGGATACAGACAAAATAGGCTATTAGCTTTTTTTATGGTTGTAATCAGAATACTACTGAATTCAGTAAAAATACAGCATTTAGGAGAATTCTAAAAGCTTTGGCTTTAGGTTAATATTATGTATGAGATTTTTGGCGTATATAATTGTCTAATAATCTGTCTAATAATCTATCTTCTAATACTAGTCAGCTGTAGAGGCATAACATAGGAATTCCTTGTCTAAGCTCAAAATATGTTAGATAAAAAGGAGTTCTTGTACCAGCCATATGCCAAAGTACTTTTATTTTAAGTCTGTGGGCGTCTTCTACCCTTGAGCAGATAATCACATAGCAGTTTAGGTTAAGACCAAGTGCATATGTTTCTCCAGGATTTGTGAACGAAAACCTTGGCACTTGAGATCTGTAAGCTTTTGAGCCCCTTTGTGACTCGTTGGTGGTCACCTCATCTCAGTAACAAGCATAAACAGACTGGCTTGCTTTCCAACCAGACCTCCTTCAGAGAGTAAACCATCTCCTAGAGTCTGTATTCGGTCTGACATCATGTTTTCCTTTTTATTTCAACTAGTGAAACGTGTCCCTGGAGCTTCTGAGTATCCCGTCAAAGACTTGAGCACGCCTCCGAGTTCCTCCGGGAGTGGAGGAAATGCTGGGCCTGCGACCAGCCCTGCCAGGAGCAGTGACATGCTGTATCTGATCGTTGGCTGTGTGCTCGGCGTCATGGTCCTCATTCTTATGGTTTTCATTGCCATGTGCCTGTGGAAGAATCGCCAGCAGAGTACCATTCAGAGTGAGTCATCCATCAGTATTTCCTGCTTTTTTTCTGAAGATGGGTAGAAAAATATTGTCAGAATAAATATTGATTTCTAACACTTTCATGATTAATGTCAAGGTATAAAAAACATGAGATACTTACTCTTCACTCAAAGGAGATGACTTTAAAGCTGTTCTAGCTGTCAGCCAAAGTACGTGGCGCATCCAATTAAATTGCCCAGTGGAAATAAACAACAAAGCTCAAACTAAGCAGGTCTCTAAGTACAGAGCTGACATAGTGCTGGGAAACTCTGGCTTTGTCAGACCACCAAAAGCGGAGGCGTACTTGAAGTAGGAGCTTTGGAATTTGCTATGGGAACACCTACAGACTGGTACAGATCTTGTCAACAGGGATAGTCAACAGGGATAGAAAGGAAGCTGGTGAAGACCCTTCTGAGTTACTTTCACTGAATGGCACAACCCAGACAACCATATGGTCTGCTCCTGTCCCTGATGTCCCCGTTGTGCTCCAGGGTCGTATCTGCTGTGGGTGCATCTCGCAGGCCCATGAGGGTGCTGGCTTGAGGCAAATAACCCAGAACTTCTTTTTTAGTGTCTAGAGATACTTGTCTGTTCCCTCAGTTCTCTTCCCCCGAGCTTCCTATCTTTCCTATTCTCCCAATTATTGTAAACTAGGATAATCTGATCAGAGCAGGGACTTCCCTCACTGGTAAGAAGTTTTTTGGCTTCCTCTTTGGCCCCAGAATAAGGGATGAAAAGCAAAGGAAGATAACGGTAGTCACAGGCCTCCCATATGTGACATTCCCACAGGTGCCTTTTTAAGTAATTTGGGGAGGGGAGGGGTAGAGGGAGTGGCAGGGAGGAGTTTTGGTCTGAGGAGGGTAGGGGAAGTGCCTGGGGGGAAGTTTCTTAAATTTCCTACCTTCCTGAAGATAGGCTGGGCAGAGGTGGTGGTGCTACTGGTACCACAGTGAAGGAGTTGGGGATCATTTGATTGGGTCTTTTTTCCCTAAATGGTTTTTTTTTTAGATTTATTTAATTATACATACAAGAACTGGGGTACAGGCCAGAGGTGTTGGGGGTGAGAGGATGCACCAGAGACAGAGTGGGGAACAGAACAGGCAGATTGACCAAAGTACACTGCTGAGGGGAGCAGCGGGCAAGTCAGGAGAGGTCTGCTGCACCGTGTGGGTTGCTCCCTGGCCGGCCATGGATAGAGTACTGTAGAAGCTGCAGATTGCTTCATAGAGCGGTGCTTCACACTTTGCGCCACCAGGGAGGCCCTCCCTAAATGGTTTTAATGTCATTGACTTCAACTATGTGAGTATGTGGTGAATGGTTAAAAGTGTTACTCTGGTTGTCTGAGCAAGGTTAATTAGGCAGAATTTATTTCCTTTGTGAACTGATAATATGTTTAAAAATGGAAACTTGTAAGAATAGTGTTCATTCAGTCATTCATTCAAAAGATACTCATCTTTATCTTGTGTGCCAGGCATACAGGCAGACAGTGGAAATGTAATGTAAACAAAGATGACCTCTAGTGTCTTAAAGTGTATAGTTTAGTGGAGAAAATATGTAGGTCTACTGACATTAATTCACCTGTGTAAGAAGTTCAGTAACAGGAGGCTCACCTAATTCAGTCTTGACATACACACACTTGAATACCTTTGAAGAATTTACTAAAGCCCTGACAAATCCTGTGCAGTTTAGATACTGTTCTTTCTAAGGGATATTTTACTTTTATAAGTATATTTGGGAGATGTACCTCTGGAAATCAGAAATTTTTTAAAGATTTATTTTTATTTATGCATAGAAGAACCGCTCATTTATTTTTCCATTAACAGAATCATAATTAACTCAAGATTCCTAGCTACCAGCGACCATAAAGGAAACAGCAGCGATCACTTTATTAACACATACCTCACAAGCAAGTTTTCAATGTAGTGTTTTAGTGTATTTGAAGTTTCATAGTGATTTCATTAACAAAACTTGCTCAGCAAGAAGGTTGTCCTTTTAAGAATCTCACTTGTTTCTTATTTTCCTTTTATGTTCTCTCTTGACAGAATATGACCCACCAGGATATCTCTACCAAGGGTCAGATATTAATGGGCATATGGTGGAATACACCACCCTGCCCGGTACAAACCGGATAAACGGAAATGTCCACGGACACTTCATCAGCAAGGGGGGACTCAGCAATGGCTGCTCCCACCCCCACCACAAAGTCCCCAATGGAGTGAGTGGGATCATGAATGGGAGCATAAATGGAGGGCTCTACTCTGGGCGCACAAACTCTCTGACCAGGACCCATGTGGATTTTGAACATCCTCATCATCTAGTGAATGTAAGACACCTAACTCTAAATAACATCTTTCTGATGCCCCACAGTGCCAGCGTGGAAGATCAGGCTTGGCGGACCTGACCATTTTCAGTACAGAATCCTCGCAGGTGCACTGGAATGCAGAGTAATCTTTGAGATGAAATGGAAATACCACTGGGAATGGACACTCATATGCTTTGAGGAGTCAGGCAGATCGTAAAATTGAGTGAAGCTGGTTGGGGCTGGGACAGATGTGGTAGAGCTGATAGCAAGCCGGACAGCTTAAAAAGGAAGCATAATTCAGTTCCTTTTGTGGGCATGCAGAAAAGGGGGCCCAATATTGCCAGGTTTTATGATTTTTCAAAACATGTAAATCCAACAAAAATTGCCAAATGGTGGCAACTAGTTCCAATTTTTGAAAGCATTTGAAGGCCAAGCATGTCTGTAGGCCACCAGTGTGACTTCTGACCTCTTGGGAATTTCTTTTGCCCATTGAGTTTTGTTGTTGCCTGTAAGATTTTTGCATTTTAAAAAATTGGTTTTCTTTAGCCACAGGAGTAATAAGTTTATTACTAAAATAGTATTTAAACAGTAGTATTAATACCTACAGTATTTCAGGGATAACTAGCTGATATAGTTTACTGTTTGAAATGAGAATAAACTGACTAGCATATTTAAGATTTATGCTGGTTGAGGAGATTCTTTGCACTAGGAAGGTTGATATATTACATTGCATACGCATCCACATCATTTTTCAAACAAAGAGGTCATTTGTTTCATTGATCAAATTAAGCGTTCATTTAGTTTTTGTCCTGCTTCTGATTATAGATAAATTTGCCCTGATGCACAATATACTAAAATTTGAATTCTTTCGATCTTCAATTTTAATAAAGATGTGTATTAGACTATTATGTTTGGAGAACAAAATTTTAAATATGGGTATCTTAAAGCAGGAATCTAATGGCTTCCGTGTGACCTGGCTTTAGTTTATTGTTTAAAAAATATTTAATTTGCTTTCGTGCATATCATTACCAAAACAGAATAATGATTTCATTATTTTGTATGGAAAACATGGATTCTATTCAGACTTTCTAAACTTTTTGTCACTGTTCCGAGTCTGAACTACTAATGTTGTCCAAGAAACTGAAGGAGGGAGCATTCAAGTTTGAATAGTACATGCTGTTTCCATAAGAAGAAAAAACGAGTCTGATGTTTGTTTTAGCATTTTAACACAGTTTTTTGAATAATGAATTGCTATTTATATATAGTTGCCCCATTAGGTATACTGTTTCAGAGCTTATCATCTGTAATTTTTCTTATTCTTCCTTTCCAGGTGGGAAGAAATAGGGAAATTTTTTTAATTGTGATAATCATAAAAATCATTGAGTTAACCTTAATTTGTTTAGTGATTCAAGTAAATATATTACCCTGTAGGTGACAATTTCATTTTCTGAACTTTTGGAGTTTATTCTTATGGACTAGTTATAAAGTATAGGAATTTTCTTTCTTTTAAGATGTTTTCTAAAATATTCCAGTTACTCCTTGGATCAGGAATGCTCAGAAATTTTCAGTACTTTTGGTTTGCTTAGATTTTGGCTGTTGTTATGAGATGAATGGAAAGTATTCTGGGAAAAACAATTGCCTGAACTTTTCCTAACCCTGAAGGCCTGTCTGGGTTTGGTGCAGTGTGACAGCCTTCCCAACCTTATCAAATTCAGTTCTGCCGTTTTCCATCTGAAAGCATGAAAGCAGAATTCTGACTCTGATCAGGAGGCTAGTTCAATTCTTACTTCAGTTATGAGGTTTGCTTGCCATTGTATATGTCAAGTGAACATTTTACAATGAGGTATGTGTTAATTTGGGCATTTTTCTTAATTGCTAGGTAGTTGCCGCCAAAAGCAACATCAAAATATGAATACTCCCTTCCAAGTCATTGCTGGCTGAGAATCTACTCCATCTGGAAAAATATAGCATGTTTAAAAACTTAGGGTAGTCAAGTGAACAGACCTCATCAAAATAATTACAGGAAAATGAAGATGGGTATATCTTGTGACATCACTCAAACATTTCCACCCTGCTTCTCCAATTGGCATCACAAAAAATTCTTCCATGATGGCTAGAAAAGTCAAAATCAGGAGGAGGGAATAATGTATAGTGTATTGGGGCCCGATTAGATTTGAAACACTGGAGGGAAGTAACTAAACTTCTCCTCTTACTTGTTTGCCTCTTTCCAAAACAAAAATAGTTGAAAAAAACATGGCAGTTGCGGTTTGAGAACACAGTTTTAATGCTGTGCAGAGCTCATCTGTGAATATAAGGAGATGACTAAGCATAACATTGCTTAGGGAGTTAAAATATACCATATGTCCATCTATTATTGGCACGACTTTTATATTTGACATAATTGGGTGACTGGTGTGTGGCACCTTCAAGCTCTCTTTCTTCTCTCCCCTGCTCCTTCCTGACAAGGGCGGTGGAGTGTACACAGCAATCCCCCAGACGGACCCGCTGGAGTGTGTGAACTGTCGAAATTGCTGCAACAACAACAGGTATGTTGATAGGTATTCACGTGGTTGTGCTGTAAAGTAGATAATTGTGGTTTTTCATTCAGCAAAAGAAGTTCTTGAAATTTTACCTAAGATATAAATGAGAATATGGAGTCTTAAATTCCAGGTTGTTTGCCCCTGCTTCACAATTTTTGTCTTTCTGTGCCTCTGTTTCCTTAGCTATTTCAGCATATTAAACATTTGACTTCCAGCTGAAGATTTTTTGAGTTTTTAGCTGCTCTCTTGGTGATATTTGCAAGGAAACATTTGCCTCATTTCCCCAGTAAATATATTCCCAGTAGTCAACTGTTTCTCTCCTGGAATCACTATAAAAGGCCTAATACTGTTTCATGTTTCTCTCTTCTACCATTATGAAAGATGGTGATGATGACAAATAATAACCACTGCGGTTAGTAATAAAAGATCATTTTTGTAAAAACATTTGCTGAGTGGTAACATTTAACTATACGTTCCCAGTGACTCTATATTATTTAACTTACTAATAAATTAATAAATTAAGTAGAATATTTATGGTGTTCTTTTATAATTCATAGATTATTGTTTTGGGGTTCATAAATTAAATGCATCTGTTTCTCTTATAAAGTAAATTAAGTGTTTCAAAAAAAAGACTCAGTTGTCACAAATTTAATAATAACAGATTATTATTGAAAGGTTTGATGTTTTGAAAACTTGAGAGTCATTCTCTGAAATACAGACTTTATCTTTCCTCCCCTGTTATTTTCTATGTTGTGAATGAGAGCCATGTTTGAATGTTAGGGGAAAGAAAATCCCATGTCTTTAACAACGCCTTTTTCATAGTATTAGCTGAAAATTTTCTTACCAGATTTTCAATTGTTGTTTTTTTTTTAATTCTTAAAACTTTAAGATAAGTAGCAAAATCTTGCTTTAATTTTCTGGGCATTTTTACATTTTGAAAGTATAGCTATACACATTTTAAGTAAGAAATATGTAGAGTAGCACATTTAAATTTGGACAGAATATTTAGAAAGCTGTCATCCTACCTCCATATATGCTAATTCCACAGGGTTATCAGTTTTCATGTCTGTCAGAAATCTTAGTTTTTTCTTTCACATAATGATAATATTCTAATATTTGGTCTCAAAAGTCCTTCCCAGCTCTAAAACATCATAATTGTATCATATTATGACACAGTAACTCAATATTATAGTTAAAACATAAAATAACTGAAGTCTAGATATTTCTTTATTGAAATGAGATTTGACTTATATTTTTAAAATTGTAATTACAAGGTGAAGAGTTGTGTCTAGGAGTTACCAAAACCAGAATGAAGAAGGATCTGATCAACCATAGAATTATAAAAAGTACAGTTGATCCTTGAACAGAATGGGTTTGTACTGCACTTTTTTACTCAAGGATTCAGCCAGCCACAGGTGTCTGCTGGTTAAATGTGCAGATGGGGAGTCCACAGATATGGAAGCACAATTTTTCTGCAAATTTTCTGCAAGTGGGTGCCCCTGACTCCCATGTTGTTTCAGGATTGACTATTTCAGCCTATGTTTTAAGAGTTTCAGAACACAAGTCGTAAAGCTTACTGGAGGTATTCGGTTCTCATTAACCCATGGGAACTGTAACTTTAAGTAAGGTGATGCATAACAAAACCAAGTCTGGCAAGGAATCTTTATTTTTTTCTTATCAACATTTTAGCAAAATGATGTTGGATGAAATGATGTTATTTGAGAACCTGCTATACCAGACATTTGCTTGTTACATTTTTAAATTCTGTATGATCCTAAACAGATTTTCAGATGTTTATAAGATGAGGCTATATTTTTGTCCTGAGTTTATCATGGCAGGAACATGTTAAAGAACAGATTGAAATAGTTTCTACATCTAATTAAGTCAAATGGATTTAATTAGAAAAATGGTATTGCTAAATACATGTGTTTTCCTCTGGTCTAAGAGTAAGTATACATACACTTTGCCACTGCTTAAATTTGTGGTCCTAGGAAAAATTAAATAGTCTTTCTGAGTCTATTTCCTTATCTGAAAAATGGAAAATTGTCACAGATCACATCCAACATACTCTGATTATAGATTTTGGTAATTTGCTGTTAATTATGTCTTTATGATGGGATGTCTTCTTAGTATCCAAAATACTTCCCAGTTCCTTAAAGGAATTTGAATAAACTCTACCATCTTGCATTCATGGTCATTTGTGCCTGTGTGTGTGTGTGTAGTAGTAGTAGTTGTGGATTTTATTATACATATTTTTTCCTTGAGGAAAATGGACAGTTGTATTTCTGTTCAAGTTAATAAATTCTTGCATTTCATGTTTGGGGACTTTACCTTACCTGGAACATAGGTGAATTCTCTTCAGTCTGAGAAAACCGGTTTCTGTTTTTCCTTGGTTTAAGTATTCTTCCAGCCTGAGAGTCTACCTGTTTAAAACACAGCAAGTCTTTTGCTTGCCTGCGTTTCCTTTAGTCTCACCTGGCTCCTAGGAGCCATTATATGTTTTTGACTGGACCCCTAGTATTTCTGCTTTAGTCAGGCTGGGGTGGAACTTGAGAATTTGCATTTCTAATGAGTTCTCAGTGATGCTAATGCTGCTGGTCCTGCAACTTTGGTTTCAGAACCACTGAAATAACCTGCAAGAAGAGAGTAGTAGGATATAAAACTGGAAAACCAGACTGAGTTTATATCATGAATGATTCTGAATAACAGTGTTTGAGTTTTGTAGTTTAAACATTTATTGAGTGCCTACCATGTCACTAGAGCCCTACCTCCAGAGAGCTCATAATCTAATAATAGTGATTCATAGACCGAGCTCTGACTATAATGAGCAGAATTTGAAGAAACACATTGAACCTTATACTTTTATATTAAGGAATGGGGAAAAAATTCCCATTTTTGTAAAACAGAGTGCAAAAAGGATATGAGATTTTTACATTAAGTGGGGGTAGGGGTGCATATTAAATATTGAGAAGCAATGGGAATGGGGTTAAGCAGCCAGGTTTGGTATAAAGCCAGACACGTGGGCTTTGGAGTTACCAGTGTCTTTTGGCTTTGGTCTGGAGTGGGGGGTGGAGTCTACAAAGCCTGTAGGGAATTAGGTTTAGGACATCCTTTTTCCCCTAACAGTAGCATAATTCTTTTGCAGGTTTTTGAGAATAAAGTAATCTACTTAGAGATGTGTTTATAGCAGTATAGAGGTGGGATTGGAAGGAAGAGATCAATTAGACTGTTGTTGTAATGAAGACCTTAGTCTTCATGCAAAGAATGGGCATAGAAAGGAAGAGATGATTCTACAGTTAAAATCTTTAAAATCTGACCATTGTAGAGATCTGGAAAAAAGACAAGGTTGAAAAAAATAGAAAGTTTCAAACATGGATGATGTGGTAATTGCCATGGTAGTCATATAAATAATAAAATTAATAAAATGATATATTGAGAAAGGTGATGGATTTGATTCTAGGCATGTAGAGTTTCAAGTGCCAGTTAGATAGCTAAGTCAAGAGGACTAATGAAAATGCTGGTCTTGGGTTCAGGGGTTGATTGATATCATGAGATCTAGATTTAGTAGTCATTTGTGTCAAAGTCATAGATGGTTGAGATCACCAATGGAAACAATAGCCTTGACTCATTGATTTTCTTTATATATTTAATTAACACGTTTACTTGCCTTATTCTTAATTATTTAAAGTGACTAGGCACATACTATTTTTTGCATTCATGTATCTTCAAGGAGGTGAGGTAAGGGGAATGATAAAATAAAAAGAGTGAGAAGGATAAAGAGAATACATTCATTTATTCAAAACAAACATTTGTTAAAGGTATGGTGTGGGCCAAGCAGTCATAGAGCAGTGATTAAAACAGATGTCGTTTCTGCCTTTTCTGAGCTGTTAGTTTGATGAGGAGGCATATCTTTTTCTAAATTGACATAAAGGAAAAATAATGAATTTATTAGAGAAAAGACTTCTGTAGGCAAAAGCTTTTGTTCTGTAACACTGAAGAATTTATAAAATTAGGTAAAAGAGAGGGAATCAGATTAAAGCTTTCCAGATTTTTATGCAAAATCTCTAAAGCAGACTGCCAGAATCCTCATGGGATGCAAAGAAGGCTAATGCGGCAGGGCTCAGAGGTAAAGGTGAGGGAAATCAGATCGTCTAGAGCTACGGTGAGTCAGTGAAAGAACTGAAGTGGGCTAGAACACTCTGCAAAGAGTTTGGAGAATAAATTTGCATAAGAGAGGGGCCAGGACCGGGTCAGTGACTGTTGCAGTCGTCCATGTGCCATGTAAGAAATGGTGCAGTAGGGGTGGAGAGAAGTGGATATCCAGTAGCTCTCCTGTCCCTTGGCTGCCTCAAAGCTGCAAAAATTGTGCTCCCTGCCTTTCCTATGTGGGTTCTTACCTGCCCTTCACCCTTAGCTATAGATTCTCTCTTCTCTGTCACCTAAGGTTTAAACATAAATGTTTTCTTGGAGTGGGCTTTAAGAAGCCAGTCTTTGCCCACCTTAGACCCTTTCTATCATACCTAAATTTTAGTAATGACTACCTGGAGAAAAAAATTGCCTTTGCTGACTAAATTGGAGTAGTAATATAAAAGTTGAGACTAGGTCAGAGCGGAATGTGTCCTGTAGCAACCTGTGGAGTTTTATTAGATTGTAGGGCTTTTTTGGCACATTATAAACAACTGCCTTCTTGACTGTGTTCCTTAATTCGAACCTTTTTCAGGTTTTAAGTGTAATATGTAATAGCTCACTCTGAACAGTTCGGAAGAGGCATATTTCATGCAGCTTTGCAAGAAGCCAGTCCCTTACACTAAAGATTTCATTGAGAAGTTCTTGTGCAATTTGGCCATTCCAAGAGATAAACAGGTTTTAATCAAATAAATCCTATGCTTCTATCTTTCTCCTCTTCTCAGTTCAAAAGGCAGTAATGTAGTTCTGGATTTGTAATCACATGTGGTTTGTCAGTTGCTGGGCTAGTTTAATGGTAAGGGATTGACATTAAATCTTGT